TTCAACAAACTCAAGTCTCCATCATTTATCGGGTTTCGATAAAATGATACTTCAATTCAATGTGCTTACATCTCGGAATGAAGGATTGGATTTTTAGCAAGACAAATAGCACTTTGATCTGTCACTAAACAACGGAGAACCATCTTGTTCTCTTCCTAATTCTTTTAGAAGGTTCTTCAACCATATCATCTCCTTCGCGCTTACGAGATAGCTACATACTCGCTTCGGTGGTTGAGAGAGACCCTTCCTTGAAGTTTAGACTTCCAACCGATAACTGTACCACCCAATGTAAAAATATAACCTGTTGTGCTCTTTCTACCGTCAAGATCACCTCCCAAGTCCGCATCGAGAAAACCCCTGTAAAATGAGATTACTTCTCTTGAAAGACAAATGCATCTTTGAAGTGCCTTTCAAATATCCGAATATCCACTTCACTCCTTCCCAATGCTCCTTTCGGGATTTGATAGAAATCCGCTCACAACTCCCATTGCATGTGCTATGTCCGGTGCGGTGCAAACCATAGCATACATCAAGCTTCCTACTGCGAGATGCATATGGCACTTTAGACATGTGACTTTCTTCTTCTTCGTTTGAGAAGATTGCCTCTTTGAAAACTTTAAGTGAGTTCCCAAAGGTGTATTCCTGGTTTTAGCATTCCCAACATTGAATCTCGCTAAGCAATTTTTCTATATATTTTTCTTGAGATAAGTTCAAAATACCTTTATCTCTATCTCGGGAGATTCTCATACCAAGAATTTGCTTGGCTGGACCAAGATCCTTCATTTCAAAGCTCTCCGACAATTGTTTCTTCAACTTGTCAATTTACGCCATATTAGCTCCAACAATTAACATGTCGTCAACATATAAGGCAAGAATGATATAGCTATCAACATATTTCTTCACATAACAACGGTGATCTTCTTCACATCTGCGAAATCCCGAGTTTCTCATAAACTCATTAAACTTCTTGTACCATTGTCTCGGCGCTTGTTTTAATCCGTACAAACTTTTATGAAGCTTGCATACAAGATTTTCTCCGCCTTGTACTTCAAAACCTTTTGGTCGTGTCATAAAAATTTCCTCTTCAAGATCCCCATGTAAGAATGCGGTTTTGACATCTAACTCGCTCCAAATGAAGATTTTCTGCAGCCTACTATACTCAAGATAACTCGATGGTAGTCATCTTGACAACAGGAGAGAAAATTTACGTGAAGTCAATTCCTTGTCTTTGTTGGAACCCTTTCACTACGAGTCTAGCCTTATATCTTTTCTTGCCATCCGGTTCTTCTTTCAACCTATAGACCCACCTGTTTTGCAAAACTTTCTTTCCTTCCGGTAGCTTGGTTAAAGACCATGTTTTATTCTTCCGAAGGGACTTTATCTCATCTTCCATTGCTAGCTCCCACTTAATAGATTCATCTCCCTGCATAGCCTCGACAAAATGCTCCGGCTCACCAACATCGATCAACAACAAATAATGCAATGAAGGGGAATACCTTTGTGGTGCTACAATTGTTCTGCTAGATCTTCTAACCAAGATTTCGGGAGTTGCTGACTCTACTATTTGTTCGAGGTTACGTCTCGAGGCTCGACATAGGCTCTACTTGTATATTACGCCTTCGGTTGACTACATCACTTTCGAAATTTCTTCTAATGATACTTGCTCTAGTTGTTTATTTACATTTGCGGATTCTGCAATCTCGTCTCTATAGAACATGTTTTCATTAAAAGTAACATTTCTACTTCGATAATTTTCTTGTTTTGGTCATCCCAAAACCCGTAGCCAAACATGTCGGATCCATAACCAATGAAATAACAACGTTTTGCCTTAGGGTCCAATTTATCTCTACTATTAGAGTCTAACATAACATATGAAGCACAACCAAAAACTTTCGGATGTGAAAGATTTACCTCTTTCCGGACCATACTTCTTCGGGTAACTTATAGTCTAAAGGAACTGATGGTCCTCTGTTTATGAGATAGATTGCTTGTGCTTATTGCATCTGCCCAAAATACCTTGGGTAATCCTGATCTGGATTCTCATACATCTTGCTCTCTCATTCAAGGTTATGTTCATTCTTTACGCCACACCGTTTTGTTACGGTGTTCCTGAGGCTGTCTTGATCATTCTGATCCCATTCTCCGAACAAAACTCCTTGAATTGACTACTCGTCATATTCTCCACCATTATCGAGACTTTAAACATTTGACCTTTAAACCTGTTTGAGTCTCAACCTCCTTTTTCCACCTTTTAAACACGAGAAAACACATCGATTTATTTTTAAGAAAATAAACTCATACCTTTCTTGTAGAGTCATCAATGAAGGTTACATAATATTGTGAACCTCCAAGGAATTTCACTGAAGCGGCCCCCAAACATCTGTATGCACTTAGTTCTAGTCTTTCAACTTTAGACGACTTACTTGTTTTTGAGAAGCTAACCTTTTTCTCGCTTTCCAAAGATACAATGTTCGCAAGGTCCAACGTCAACATGCTTCACGTTAGGTATTTTACCTTTTGATATCATGAGCTTCATTCCTTTCTCACTCATATGCCCAAGCCTCGATGCCATAAGGAGGAATTGTTGCCAACTTCGCAATCGATATCATATCCTCATCTGCAATCATGTAGAGAGATCCTTGCTTCTTTCCACGAGCAACAACAAGATTACCTTTCATTACCTTCCAATGTCCATCTCCAAAAGTGGTGTAATGTCCCTCATCATCCAACCGCCCTATAGATATTAAGTTTCTCTTTAAGGTTGAAATATGTCGACATTATTCAAAGTCCACACGTTTCCATTAGAGGTTCGATGTTAATATCACCTCTTCCTATGATATCAAGAGATTTTCCATCTGCAAGGTAGACCTTCCCAAACTTTCCAGAAACATAGTTAGATAATAGTTCTAAGGAAGGTGTAGTATGAAATGACGCACTCTGAGTCCATAATCCATGAGTCAATAGAATTATCTAAACTACATAACGAGTGCATCTTCAACTTCATCGATTCTCTGCATTTGTCGATTGATCATCATCTTGCTTCTTGTTGTTGTTGTTGTCCTTCTTTGGAGCCCTACCACCGATTTGAAAAGTGGCCCTTTTTCGACAATTCCAACAAGTGATATCATTCGGACTTTTGCTTGTGATCTCCCTCCGGATTTTGATCTGCCTCGGCCTTGATTACGACCTTTCGATGACTTCTTCCTCTAGTTTCAGTACTCAATGCTTGAACTCGAATTAGAACCGAAAGATTCTACTGAATTTTTTCTGCGAACATCTTCGCTTAAGATCAAGTCACGGATGTTATCAAGCTTCAACTTGTTATTGCTTGCGAGAATTACTTACTGCGATAGCGAGTTGCACCCCAACTTTCCGGTAGAGATGATAATAAAATTAATGCTTTCACCTCATCATCAAATATTATACTGCATCGATGTCAACTGCGCAATAATTGCATTAAATTCACTAATATGATTAGTAACCGAGTTACCTTCACCCATTTTGAGGTTGACTAGCCTCGCGAATCAAATGCACTTTATTGGTCGCAGAGGGCTTCTCATACATATTTGACAACGCTCGCATCAAATCTACGGTTGTCTTCTCGTTCATGATGTTGAACGCAACATTCTTGGCTAATGTCGACCGGATCACACCAAGCGTCTGCCGATCTAACAACTCCCATTCTGATCGCTCCATGTCGGTTGGCTTCACGCCTGTCAAGGGTAGATACAACTTCTTCCGATACGAGATAATCTTCCATCTCGCATCTTCCAGAACCGAAGTCACCGCCATCGAACTTCTCGATCCTCACCTTTCCTTCTTCCAATGCCATTGCTCTCACTCGCTTTCAAAGAAAGCTCCCACTGCTTCTCTAAGCCGAGATTCCCAAGAAAAAAGACCAAATCTTTTCGATGTGGAAGATCGGACAAAGCTGCAACCACGAGAGCATACTAAAAAAATTGGCTCTTGATACCAATTGTTAGGAACAAGACAATAATAAAGGAAAGAATAAAGGAGAGAAAAATAAACGACACAAGAATTTTAACGTGGTTCGGCTAAAATATGTATGCCTACGTCCACGACTACACTAGGAAGTATTTTTATTTACGTGTGTATCTCAAACTTTACATAGGGTTGCTTATATAACAAAATAGAGAACCTCATCTCACAATCCTAATCGATGTGGGACTAAATCAAGCACCATAATACTAACAATCATTGTTAGGATCGAGCGCTTACCACTAGGCCAAAAGCTATAGCCATTAGTCAGAGCGCAACTCTTTTTACTTTAACGACCCAAGCGCCACGATTCAATTGTGACTCGGCCACACGACCTTCGTCACGGGACAATTGATGCTACCCGCAACAATCTCCCCCTCGGCAATTGTCCTACAAGGTATCCCACTCTTGGATTGTGACTTGGCCCACCCGGCCTCGCCACGGGACAATTGTGCAACCTGCAACAATCTCCCCCTCAACAATTGCCCACCAGGAATCGAACTCGTGACCTTGGCTCGATACCAATTGTTAGGATCGAGCGCTTACCACTAGGCCAAAAGCTATAGCCATTAGTCAGAGCGCAACTCTTTTTACTTTAACAGCCCAAGCGCCACGATTCAATTGTGACTCGGCCCACCTGACCTTCGTCATAGGACAATTGATGCTACCTGCAACAATCTCCCCCTCAGCAATTGTCCTACAAGGTATCCCACTCTTGGATTGTGACTTGGCCCACCCGGCCTCTGCCACGGGACAATTGTGCAACCTGCAACACCAAGCAACACATTTCCAATACGGCCTTCACATTCTGTGCTTATGTTCTGATATAACAAAAAATTTCACATCTTCAATTGTCAGGATTGATGCGAAAAAGAAAAGAACAATTAAGCCCACCAAGAACCGATAAAGAACATTACCTGGTTCAGGCAGCAAGTGGCACAGGAAGAACTTTTGCCAATGAATGATTCTAGGCAGACCCGCTACTCCACCTTTAATTTATCTCACCAGAAATCCCGACAATTGCAGACTCCATTCTCAAAATGATGAAATCGACTTGCATCTCTTACTGTTATCTCCCTCTTCGTTATAAGAGTCATAAATTTGACTGCAGTATGGCAGTCAACACATATTCGCAAATTTTTTGTAACTAGAATGGGGTTGCTGGGACTGGTATTAAGAATTCCAAATGCAATGGCTATTTTTTCGCTATGATAAAGGAGAATCTGTTCCTTTTCCTCTTCTTCAACATCATGATAAACAAAACCAGAATCTGCCTCATATCCCATTTTTTTCATTTGCACCAACAGTTCCTGTAACTTGTTATTAATGGACACTGACTGTGGATGAGATCGATCCCCCCCAATAAATCCATGGATTACCCCTGAGATCTCAATCCAACTGCATCCTGGGATTTTCTTGTAACCTTGATGCTTCTGTATGCTTCTAATATGTGCTGCATCGTCCCATCTGCCAACAGAGCTATAGATGTTAGACATAAGAACAAAATTTCCAGTACCTTCAGGTCCCAGCAGCTGGATCTTCTTTGACACTTGTTCACCCATTTCAACATTTTTGCGGGTCCTACATGCAGAAAGCAATGCACTCCATACACGAACATCAGGCTCAAACGGCATCTTTTGAATAAAGGAGTATGCTTCATCCAAATTTCCTGCTCGGGCCAAGAGGTCAACCATGCATATATAATGTACCATCCTTGGTGAGATGTTGAGATCTTGAGTCATGGTATTAAACCAGTATTTCCCTTCCGTCACAAGTCCTGAATGGCTACAAGCAGATAAAACAGCAATAAGGGTCACATCGTCCGGCTTCATACCTGATGCCTGTAATTCGTGAAACAATGAAAATGCTTCGTTGTAAAGACCATGAATGCCATAACCAATTATCATTGTATTCCATGAAACAATATCCCTCTTATTCATTCTATCAAAAACTTGCCGACTGATATGAATCTTTCCACACTTCGCATACATGTCAATAATGGCATTACAAACGGAGGTATTTGCCGTGAAGCCTCGAACCACTGAGTATCCATGGCAACAGACCCCGTGTTGTAGAGCGGCCAAATGTGAACAAGCTGGAAGCAAACCTATCATGGTCGCGGAATCTGTGTCGGTCCCAGATAACTGCATCTGGCGAAAAATAAGTACAGCTTTTTCTGCATAGCCATTTTGCACACATCCTGAAATGATAGCACTGTAAGAAACTGAGTCTTTTATTATCATTTCATCAAGAAACTCAAGTGCATCGTTCATGATCCCACACTTGGCGTACATTGATATCAACGAGTTTCCCACTGTTGTGTCTGAATTTATCCCTGATTTAATCATGTAACAATGTAAGTTTTTCCCTTTATTCAGATCAGTGAGCTTTGCACATGCTCTAAGTGTGGTTGCAAGAGTGACCGGTGTAGGATTCAAGCCATGCATATATACCATGTCATCATAAAGGGCCAAAGCATCTCTCATGGAGTCACAAATGACATGTCCCCCAATCATAGCACTCCAGCATATCTCGTTCTTTTGGTTCAGGGCATTGAAGATTTTCTGGGCATAAGATAAATGATGGCATTTGGCATACATATCCAAAAGCCCAGTTGCAACAACCACATCATGACTGAAGATTTTTCTTACGGAGTAAGCGTGAATAGCCTTCCCCTGGCATAAGGCATTAGCTTGTCCGACAGTGGGTAAAAGAGATACAATAGTGGAAGAATTAGGTACTATTCCAGCTTGCTGCATTTGGACAACTAAGTTAATTGTTTGATCGTGAAAAGCATGAAATGAAAAACCACCAATGATTGCATTCCACGAGACAATATCCCTATGGGACATACTATCAAATATTGTCTGTGCTTCAAAAAAATTGCCACATTTGGCATACATGTCAAGCAAGGCAGTAGAAACATAGAGATCGGTTTGTAGGCCAAGTGTGAGGACATGGTCATGTATTTGTCTCCCAAGTTGAATTGCTTGGAGAGCTGAACAGGCTTTGAGAAGAAAAGGGAAGGTGAAATTGTTGGGCTTGACACCAAGTTGCAACATACGATGGTAGAGATGAATGGATTGAAGAAATGGGCCATTCCAAGCATAAGCTCGGATCATCATGTTCCATAAAACAATACTTGGGTTTGGAATTTGGTCAAACACATGACGAGCAAGTTCGATTTGATTACGTGCTGCATAGAGACGGACAAGGTTGTGAAGGATACGGGTTTGGTTGTTATTGATATGTTGAGGATGGCGGCAATTTTGAGTGTGAGGCGAGGGATGTTGGTTTTTGGGGTTTGGGATGAAAGCTTCTTTACGTTTCAAATATCTTCGCATGTTTACTTCCCTGTCTCTCTGGGAAGGAGGGAATGAATAAGGATGATTTCATTTTATTTTCAAACAGAGTTCGTCTTCTAATAAAGGTTACCTTACCTGGGCCTTCTATTGCCTAAATTCCCTTCAGCAAAGCCCAGCCCAGCCCAGCCCAAACATCACTTGCATTTCCTATTTACTATTACCTCTACTTCCCTCAGAAAATTGTATTTAAAAGATAAACTACATATTGAAATCAATATAATTTCTATTTTTAACATATACTCAAATTTATCACAATTTTAATTATTGATTTTTAATCTACAATTGTAAGTGTAGTTTGTCTTCTAAAGCTTCTTCCTCTTACACCAGGCAAATAAAAATAAGTAAAATAATTTGTAGATGGGTGAAAAACTAATATTTTGATACTTCTCTCCTTATTTAGTCTCAAGATTGAGGAAAACTAATTTCATTCTACTTTTTAAATTGATAGTTAGATATGATTATTAAAAGTAAAATATAAAAGTGAAATAAAATAATAAAATAAAAACAAGATAAATATTAATCCTATTAAATTTTTTGTATTATAAAAACAAATAAATAATAAGAGATTTTGGTGGTAGTGATAATAATAATTATAGTGATAAAAACAGTAACAATAATGATAATAACTAAATGGTAATGGTTAAAGTAATAACTAAAATTTGTGATGATAATGGTAATTATAAAAGTAAAGAAAGTTATTATTTAATTTCAGTTGTAAAAAAATGATTTGATAACAATATGATCGCTATTAACTATTATATTAACCATGATAATGATACAACTAATTAATAATAGTTATTATACATATAATAATGACATTATGGTCATAACAATGTACATCAAAGTTGTAATATAGTAATAATGAAAAATTTAATAATAACAATAATAACACTGTTTAGAAGTAACAATAAATAATAACGATAACAATGATAATTTTTGTAACGTAAGTGTTGTGATATCTTTTTATATTGTTCCCTTCTAACTCATCTTTCTTTTGAATAAGAAATACAACACACTAACTTAACATAGAATAACATAATAAAATTATATTTTAGTAGATGTTGCACCAAACAAATTATTATAACAGAATATAATAATTATCTTTTCCTATCATATTTACCTACTAAATAAAACCTTAAATCTTATTATCTCAACACAATATGATTAAAAGAAAAATTACGAGTTCAATTTAAAATGTTAAACATAGACTAAGTAATGATTTAAAACATAAATGATGATTGATATAATAATAATAATAATAATAATAATAATAATAATAATAATAATAAAACACATTATAATAATTTTATCACTAAAACTTAAAGAAAAATACACTGCCTCATAAATTATTAACATTTAAAGTAAAAAATAAAATTCAAAATTGATGTAATGCTTACATTTAAATTTTAATAAAATACAATAGTATTATTAATAATAACAAATTTATAAGAAAGTTATATAGATAATAAAAAATCAGTATTTTCTCTAACATTGTATATAAGAAATTAATGAATATTTTTTTTGTCTTAATTATAAGAAACATAAACTCATTTTTAGTTTTATTAATTGTTAATTTCCTTTTATATCATTCATTTATTAAATAAGAAGAGGAAAATTACAAAACAAACTTTTATTAACATTCAAAACTATGTTGAAAATACAAGCGGCCAAAAAAATCATCAAAACTGTCGTCTGCTGCCCCCACCACTTCACAGTCCTCTTTTCATGATTTCATTTCATGCACACTTTTCATCTTCACTTTATATTGGGAGAAAAAAATGAGTTATTAGTTATTACAACCCAAAGGGGATGTCAATACCCGAACCATTTACACTTTTGTTCTACTGCTGGTTGGTTAATCAAGGGATGTGACGATGGTAAAGGCCACATATGGTGCGTTCTTGACATCCTAAAAAATTTATACTACTTTCAAACCTAATGACCAAACTAGGAAACAAATAAAGACCTTACCCAACTAGACTTTTACTTTGAAAGCAAATTAAAGAACAGCTAGCTCTACCACCTCCAACAGCTAGCAAATAGTAAATAAAGAGGCTTCTGCTCCATATATAAGATGAGATGAGAGGGAGAGTATTCAAAGTCCCAACTAACCCAAAGAGTAGTAGAAATAGACAATGAAGTCTGAACCACTTCAATTCTGGTAAGCGTATTTAAGAATATATATATATATAGTAGAGGAATAAAAACCAGGCATGAGCAGATTCATGAAGAACTAGATAGGACAACTCAATGAAGCCTTTATTTGCTGGACAGTGGAGCCAATGAGATTATTAACAGTTGTCACCGACTCCTTGTTCAGTTTGGCAGATGGAGAGGTACTCACTAGAATCTGAAATGCAACTGTGACTAGTGAACCACCAGACCTTGCCATGTTCCTGTTTGCGTTTGAACTGGTTGATGCCCCATCTTCCTCCTCCTCTGCCTGCCCATCCGGCAAAATGGTAAACCCATTTGGTAGCAAGGGAATGCACGAAGTGTCTTCTCCACTCATTGCTATGTTGATCGATGGCAGATCAACTGGGCAATAAACCACAAGTGCACCAGAGGAATCTATGCAGCTCTCCTGGAGTATTAACATGTTCTGACTCGTGTTGAAAGCCTACATATATATGACAATAAAGGGATAAAAATTAAAGGGGAAAACAAAGATCAAATGGGTTACAAAGGAGAGGAAGACCGTCTTACTCGAAGAACTGATATGCAGTTACCAGGATGTGAACCATTTGCTATTTGGGCAACCTCTTGCACGGCATTACCGTTGGAAAGAACATCCCACTAAATGAACAACAAAAAACTTTAGAAATCCTCTCCATAGACACATATCAAATAAGTCGATTAATTAACTTCACTATGTCAACCTGAGGCCTTTTTGATTCGTCCTTGAAGAAATTGAAGACAGTGTATGGAGGGGTGGGGAGCCAAATTGTAGTGGCTGCACTTAGCACCACACCATTAGGTTGTCCAGGATTTGAGCTGTCGTGGACAGTGACTCTGATTACGATTTCATTCAACCCAGAGATCGTGGTCCATTGGTGGCCACTTGACGTGCTGATGCTGGCACAGAAATTGGTGACCATCCTTTGAGCAAGGTTCATCATGCTCTTCTTGCCCTCGGGAGATGAAATTACTGAAATTTAAATCCCGTGTTAAGCTAAGAAAATTAAACATTACATTACTGAGATGTATTTATTTATGTACCTCCTCCAGGATTATCCCGGGTTGGATTGCTAGTAACCATCAGATAAGTCAGTCTATCACACATTCTCTGGAGGGTGGCAACCCATCTTTCAGCTCCAAATGCCATCCCACTATAAATAAGATTTCTGTAAAAACGATGAGGGAGAGTTTTGTCTTCTATCTCAACGTGTTCAACCCAAGTAACCTAAATGACAGAAAACTCAGAAGAGTAACTACAAATGTATTTCATAGCCAACAATGACTTGACTTGTTTAACATTGTTACCTTGGAATGCCCGTCAGGCATGTCCTGGATCAAGCAACCAGAAGGACGACGATGACACCGAAATTGAGGACAAAAGTGACCATCATGGGGAAAATCATAAGAAACGTCCACTACTGCCCATGTGCCTTTCTCAATTGGCTGACAGTAACGCAGGAAGTAGAACTCCCGAGTAGAAACAAGGGGAGAAAGCACTTGCAACTCTGCATACATCTGAAAAGTAAAAAGAAAGGAAAAAGTTGCATGTGTTAAAGGAAAACGGGAGTCAAACATTTACAATATAGAATAATAAAATATTTGCATCCAGTCCACGTTACCAATTGCAAAGAACCACCCATCATCCCAGAAGATATAACTTGAATTGTCGTTGCCACTGAGACAATAGTAGGAAAAAGTTCCGTCCACTTGTTCTGCAAAATAAATTATGGCAAGTGGGCAACTCAGAAAAAAAGTAATTAAATGGCCTTCTATACAAAAAGAATGAGAGCAAACATACTGGGTCCGTAAACATGTTAGTCAAGGATAAACTATTCATCAACACGACTGCAGAATCTCGTGATGCTTCAAGGCGAACATTAGGATTATTGGTCCGACTATTGGGCTTGGGGAAAATTCTTTCGTAGGCATCAGAACTAAGAACTTCCCTCCCATAGATGTTTGACTTGAGCCACAAGGGTTCGTTTGTCTGCACCAGCCTGAGAAATTCTTCCATGGCATTGGAAGCGATGTCTGACATAAGGGACTTGTCCATGTCGGAAAGGCAAGGAGGGTGATAAGGCATATTTGGCACAGATGAGGATGTCCCCGCAGGGAGAAGATCAAGATTAAGGGAGGGAGAAGGTGCAGGAACATGACCCATCATCCCTTGGTTTCCAAAACACGCCATCGACAACTCCAGAGACGATATATGGATAGGCTGAACAGGCGGGAGTTGGGAAATTGGTCTTCCAATATACTTGGCAGCGATGCTAGATACTCTATCAAGCTGACAAATAAATTATTAATTAGCCATTGAAATGGAAATAGAAATCAGAGGAGTTTTGATACGATGATATGAAATTTAATAAACCTCTTCTTTGAGGTGGGCATTCTCTAATCGCAACTTTTGGTCGTCGAAATAGGAATCATCATTGAGAGGAGGGCCACCACACGAAGGGCAGATAACATTCTTCAAAGCCTCTCTGATAGCTATGTTCTCGCAACGTATCTTGTCATTGTCAGCTCGAAGAGTACAGTTGTCAGCTCTTTCGTGCTGGGCCTGATCCAGCAAGTCAATAATTTAGATTTGGAACAGGACAAACAAGGGAGACATTGGATTACACACATGCAAATATATATATATATATATATATATATATATATATATATATATATATATATGTATATATAACTACCTTCATTTGGGTCCTTCTGTTCTGAAACCAGAACTTGATCTGTCTAGGGGCCAAGCCTAACTCTCTGCTTAACTGCAACCTTTGCTTCTCATCGGGATGGGGGCACTCTTTGAACATTCTGAACACAAGATAAAGGGAGAAGGTGTTAGAAAAAAAAAGGAGTAAAAGATGAAGATGGAGTGATGGGTGGCTTACGACTCAAGCCTCTGAATCTGGTTGGCAGTATGACGATGATAACGCTTTCTCTTCTCTTGGGAATCGGAACCATCATGTTCCCCAGTAGACTGGGACCCACAGCCTCCACTCCCGTACTCCATTCTTGATTCACTACAAACCTATAATCTACAAGGATACTCTACTAATGTATATGTATTAATGTACGTGTATGTGTATGAATGTATAAACAATTGTGATGTCACTCGTAAACCAACTGAGTCTGCTATTCCTCTCGGTGTTGCTTGTGTGAAAAAACAGAGTGGAGTAAAAGTTTGGTTTGGTTTGAGCGTTGAGCGTTGAGCGAAAGAAACAGAGAAGAAGAGAAAAACAAACGCTGAATTCAACTAAATCTTGATTTGTTCTTATTAATTTTTGAGTGAAGGGAGAAGAGGTTTTAAAGAAAGGAGAAGGTTTTAAAGATGAAAATGAGATGAGAAAGGACGCTCATTACCACCTTTAAATCACTCCCGCCGGTGCATTCTTCTCTTCCCTCTCTCTCTCTCCTTCTTATCTTTCCACCAATTATTAGCTTTTATTTTATTTTAGATTCATTCTTCCAACAAATAACAAAAATATTACCAAAAACATATAAATATTCTCATATTATATGAAATATATCACAGAAATCGACTGAAAAAAATAAGTTTGTATTAAAATATTTTCCTTCTCTTTGCAGAGTTAGTACATCCCATACCTTCCATGCGAAGAATCGCATGATCAAAATCAAAATAAGAAAACTAATATAATTATTTAGGTGAATAAAAAAAAGTCTCATTTACAAAATAAGTGATATTATATTTGATAAACTTCATCTGTTATTCTTTTATATTTTTCTTTTAGTATTCATGATCTACAATGTTTTTTCAAAAATATTTTTTTCGACCAAAATATACCAATCTTGGCCAAATCCGGTTTGAGCAAGGAGGCGAAAACCCTAAATTCTAATTTTAGTTTCATTTTTAAAAATATTTTGATTGATATCATGTTTCACATAAACAAAATATGATATTATTTAGACACTATAGTTTTGAAGTATTGACCAAGGAGAAGGAAAAACGTATTTTAGATACAAAAGTTGAATATGACAGAAAAGATACGCTGAATAACATTAGTAAAAAGAAATTTGAAATTATGAGTAAAAAAAAATTGTCCAAATTGAGTGGTTGTTAAGTTTTTTTTTTTTTAAATCCATCCTTCCCCAAAAGATGCAAATATGGGAATTAAAGACAGACTCTACCTGCCCTCTATTTCGGTGATCTAAATCAGATGCCAATATCAGAAAAAGTTTCGGTTATTAAAACAAGATTGGGCATCAGATATGACCATTCATGTTTCCACAAATTTCTTTCTCTATATATTTAATACCAAATCTCAACTTACCAAAACTGTATTATCAAATATATCAATACATGGTAAGAACATATCTACATATCATCTTGTTAATAATTCAGTTATGGTTTTTTTTTTAATATTAATATTCACCATTAACATCTTCTCTACCACTACTTTTGCTATTTAAAGGTTGATTGTCTCACATGTTCTTTCTGTATAATCAGCATCATTTATTTTTAAGCAAAAAAAAAAACTTACTAACAAATTCATTTCATAAAACTATCAACGTTTCCTCGGATAAAAAAACAAAATTCCCTATATACATCATCACCCAAAATATAGCTAAATAATATTCTTCGTCGTAAGTTGAATTTTGTCCATCTTACTTTATTAAAATTAAGTTAATTTTTATAAAATATTTTAAATATGTTTTCCCCTCAATTATTAAAGAAATTTGCAAACATTTCTCCTTCAACCATATATTTATTTTCAAATTAAAAAAAAGATATTTATTTAAAAAATTTGGTATTTTTTTTATTAATTTCAATTAAAATCGGATCAGTCATTTTAAAATTTAAATATTCTAATTTAATTGATTAATCATATTTAATAAAATAATATTTTTATAATATAATATATTGTTAATAATAAAAATTAATTTTATATTTATAAATATAAAATATATTAAAAAATGAAAATAAATAATATAAAAATATAATAAATAAATATTATTTAAAGTTGATATAATTAATATAAGATAACAAAAATTATAATATACTATATTTTTTATATTCAAAAAAATTGATCATAAATATTTTTTTACTAAAACGGGTTGAATTCAAAAATTCAATTAGTTTTATTCTAATTTAATTAAACTCTGAATATTTAAAAATAACAAGATGGGTTCGATTTTCAAAAATAATAATTAATTTGGTTGATGTATTATTTATACAATAAATAAATAAACAGACACAAATAATAATGTTAAAATGGTGTTTCAAAATAATAATGATGAAACTAAATAAAGTTTATTATAATTTACCTTAAAAAAACTGTTTACTAACTATTATTAATAGAATTGTAAAATTTTTTAACTTAATAAAAATAGCTAGAAAATAATTAAAATATCATATTAAAGATAATCTTATAGTATATCATGTCATATAAGTTTTTCGGTAATTATAAAAAAAACCAAAAAACTAACTAAATACATGCCAAACATATTTTTTCACAATATTAGTTTTTCATGTTATATACTTAACTTTGTCTTAAGACCAATATGAAATGTTAAAAGAAAATTAAACTTAAATTCAATAAATTAACTATTTGTGTCCAAAATTCTCTTGTTACTAACATATATGACGTTTTTAGTACTTGTAAAAAATATTTGTTAATTTTAAATTATTTATCTTTTTAAATAGATTTTTTTATAATTAAATATAGAAACGTGTTAATAAATATAATTAAATTAATAATAAATATTTAAAAATAAATTAATTATATTTTTTCAGACACATAATTTAATCTAATAATATATTCATTATTTATTATACGTAATAATTTTACATGTAATTTTACATTTGATATTATTTTTATTTTAAAAATATATTTTACTTATAACTTATGATTTATTCTATATATCAATTTTTATATTATATTATTAAGTCATTATAATATGTGATGTTATTTTATACGTTGGCTGTGTAATTAATGTTTATAATGTAACAATCTTAGCATTAATCGTGGTGCATTATTTTAGATTAAGGTTCATGATTATTAATCAACAGGAAATTACATTAATAACTAGAAAGTTGGAAAGAATGTTATATCCATTATCCAATACATAAAAGTATTAACTTAAAGTGGAGATTATTAGAGATATGAAAAATTATAAGAAATTTTATAAATACACTTATAAAATATTTTAACTAACAAATATACAATATCTATAAAAAAAATATTTAATATATCATAAATAAAAAAATATGTTTAAAGATAAAAAATAATAAAATATATTTTATATTCAATTATTTTGTAATGACATGAGTTAGTCGAAATTAAAAATAAGTTATACACATAATGGATAAACCTTAATTATAACTATATTTTGATAAAACTCATTGGATTGGTTTTCATAAACTATATACAATCCATTTCAACACTAAATTTACTGCATTATAAATCCATTGTCTCTCACTGTCTTTTCTTATTGTGTTAAACAGTTTTTAATAACCATAATGAAATTAGTGCACTTAATACAACAAGGAGCACAGAAACTATGTATACCTTGGGCACGCTTGCACACATTATTTATTTTATTTTTATGACTGATAAATGATAATTATGACCAATAAAGGATAAGAAAGGTACACTTCAGTTCTTGCTAAGGAACTTTCAATACCCAGTTCATAAAATTATATTTAACTATGTTTTTACTTGATTACATTTGAATATTGTAGAAATTCTTCATGATAAAAGTTGTTTATTTTAATTATACCGATTTCAGAAAATGCTAATTTCTTTTTTCTCTTGCTTAGTGATGTTAACAATTATAATAATTACGTTTATTTATTTTAGTTAATAACGATGGTTCGTTGGTTTGTCTTTTATGATTAAAAACACGATGGTCATTTGTTTTTTATGATTGAAAAAACGGAATAAGATTGAGTGACTTGCTATAATCATAGACAACCGATTTTGATTTAAAGTTTAATTGTCTTTTTAAATCAATTTTTTTTATAAGTTTAATAATAAAATTATTATTTATTGATTAATAATTTAATTTAAGTTAATAATATAAACTAACATATTATATTAAGATATTATAATTTAGAATAATAAATAATAACAAATATAAGTTAATAATGTGAAAATTTATAAAATTTTTATTTTTTATATGAAAAAATTCAAATATTTAAAAGAAATTTTATATTATATTTTTAATTTAATAAAATTTAATATTTTTATTTTTTTAATAATTCTCCCACATTCAATTTAACTTATAAGCGTATAAACAGTCAATACTTAGCATTATTAGATACATTTTAAAAGACTTTTATTTTTATTTTATTTTGTCATTTTCTTCTTATTTTTAACATTCTCCATATAAAATTTATATATTATTTTTTATTAATTATATTATAATAAAAAAATTAATTTTTTATCAACTAAATAATAGGTCATGACCTAACCTATTCTATCTGTAGATTAGCCTAACGGATTAACGAAATAGGAGGAGGAACTCACAAACATAACGTCTTATCCTTTTCTCATCTTTAAAAATCAATTATAAGTAAGTAAATATTACAACGCGGGTATATAAAATTTCATCACAACGATGAATTAGATTTTAGAAAATTATGAAACAACAATTAGGGAGTTGCATGGGAAAGGAAAACAACAAGTACCAAAAATTAATATATATATATATATGATTTGAAATTAATGGCTATATTATAGGCATATATATTTATGTGCATGTATAAATTAAAAGAAATATATTTTTTTAAGAAAAAAATTATATACATTAAACACATAAGAAACTATTTTTTTTATATAATAGTAACTTTAGTAAAAGAGACATTTAAACCTATTATTTAAAAATATAATTTTGATGATTGATAATTAATTATTGTTTTTTATTAAATTGTAAAATATCATTTATTTTTCTTAAAATAATTTACGAAACAGTAAATAATTAATTGGTGATCGAATTTGTGAGTAAAAATACTTTATACATTTAAAGATTTTAAATTATTAATTTTAAAAATAAATATTTACTATGAAATTTAAAATTATACAAGGATTAACATATGAGTTTAATTTAAGTTAAAATAATTGTTTTACGAAGAGGATTTAGGACAATTTCCATTAGAAATTTTAGTTAAATGTTTTTGAAGATTTTGTTTTTAAATTTTTATAATTATTTTATTAAGTAAAAGATAGAAAATAGAAAATAGAATAAAATTTTATAATAAAATAAAATCAACATTGAATTAGTTAACAGAAATTTATCAAATCGATTATCATAATGATATGTTATTTTTAAAATAACCTGATTTTAATTAAATTGATACAAAATTAATAAAATCGATTGAGTTTTTTATCGAATTGATTTTAGTAAAACAAATAAATTAAGAATCAATTTGTTTAATATAATTTTTTATAAAAATATATAGTAATTAAATTTTTTAATTTTTTTAACTTATTAATTAAGTCAATTTTAAATAATAATTATTTTATTATATTTTTATTTTATGTTAATAATTATCTTCTTATATTTTCAATATTTATATTGTATTGTAATTTATAATTATTATCACACTAATTTTTATTATTATTAATAAATTTATTATATTATATACAAATATTTTATTATTAATTTTTTAATTGAATTTTAATTAAACTTTTAAACTCTAAACTTATTTTTTTTATTTAATGATAAGTTCGATTTTAAAAATATTAATTAAAAATAATATTTTATTATAATATTTTATTTTATTTTTTAAGATAAAAATTAACTCAGCCGCTTAAATCTAAAATAATGTAAGTTATTTGTGTTAATGGGAATTAAAAAGTAAGGGTTGGAGAAGATATAAAATGGTTGAAGTGACTGTGTGAAGAAACTTGTGGCACACTTGAGAAGGGTGAGATGTCTAAAGAAGCAATTGTTATAGAAAGCAGGGATAGAGAATTGAAATAGAACGCGAGTGTAGTGTTGAAGATGAAGTGTAAGTGTCGCTATATTTATCTATGGAGTGTTTCTTAAGGCTGCTCAGATCAGATCGATCGTCCACGTAAGAAACTCCTCCTCCTTATTTTATTATTTTAATTTAATAACTTCTTACATATTCAACAGAGCTCAACAATGTAGCGGTGTTTGTTAACAATGGAGAACAGAAGATTTGAGACATCTGGTGTCAATTTGAGACAAGAAGAAGATTGTTTTGTGTTTGTGACACTCACTCTCACTAGCTCACTGAAGGAGGGAGGAAGCAAAAGAAAAAGAAGAAACGGAAGTGAAAGAAAAAAGGTTGTCCCTAGGAATTGCTTAGAATAGAATAAAAGTGAGATGCTTAGGCCAACATACACGCACACAAGATTCATCCATCATCGATAGATATTAGAGACCAATAACTTTCACGTCAATCTTTCTTTCTTTCTTTCTCAGAGTCATCAACTACTCACTCACTCACTCACATAACAATTACAATGGACAGACCTCACCCAACTCTGATAGTACCCTCTCAACCATTTCCCCTCTCTTGTACGTCAAAGAAATACCTTCAACCCAACAAAACATTATTCCAACCCTCAATCTTCCCGTCTCACACCCACAAGAGAAAAACATGGCCAAGAGATCAGATTTTGCACAGAAGCTGCTCGATGATCTCCGCCTAAGGAAAGAGCGAATGGCTTCGTCTCACACCTCTAATCAATCCCACCATTTTTCTATTGGTAAGCTTCACTCCAACATTTTTCACCCTGTTAACTATTCTTCTTGCCTTCTCACTCTTTCATTCTCATTTCCATCAACGCAGAACTTATATCCTTCAAACAACACAACGGCTCCCATTTCACTTTACCTTGCTTTCCTTCCTCTCCATTAATAACAGCATACGATGGCTTCTTACATTCTATGAAAGTCTCATTTCACTGTTTATTTTCTTCTTCCCTGCCAGCGTCCTAAATGTTCCATCTTCTGCAAATTTTACCTCCATCGATACTTTAAAAGTTTTTTCATTGTTGTTAAACAAGACTTGTGCCAAAAACGGACGAGAGTAATTGTTAAAGCAATTTTTACAGACATTGTTGTTGAAAGTAGGAATAGTCATGAATCATGATATATATTCAAGAGTACAGGGTGTGTCACATCACATCTGTGGGTCAATCTTGTCTTTAACTACATCTTTTTTGTTACCACTAATATGGCATATATGATATTTAATGGGACGGGCCAAGTCATTGCTTTTGTTTCCTGATAAAAAAGAAATTAGAATCCTTGTTGATAGCTTTATATATCTTTCCAATCAAACATCCAACCACCACTTACCTAATACTACTACTTCAAATAGACTATTGACGAGTTTGTATGAGTACATTCATGTATTGATTTAAATAGTAAAATAAATTCCCCGAAAATTTGTTGTTCTTTGTTTAGGGTTTATCTAGTTTCATCAATAAGGAAGAAATTTACTCAAGCATTACACTATTTGGTATTCTCTTTTTATGGACTCGTTGTTATTTTGTGAAATTTCAAATTGTTCCAACCAGTAGGAAGTGAACACAAGTTATTTAGTGACATATACATGAGATTTTGCTGAATAATAATGTTTTGAAAATGTTGCTACCTTTGTTCTTTACAAAATTCTTCTGTCACTTTGACTCTCAGCTCCCGTTTTCTAGTTGAGCATTCCATTTATTTAAACAAACAGAAGTTTAGCAAATGGGAAGGGATGATTATAGTTTGGGATCTGGGAAGCACTACAGTATTAACTTGGTGCTTGCCTTATGTGTAGCAAAATTATTTCAAAGTATGGAACTCTATTTTAATGGAAAACGGGGATTGTGGGTGGGGGACGGGGGTCGTACATGCTTGTAACGATTTACTTATGTTTTTGCATAACAAGACATTCTAATAATCAGGTAATGATCTGAAAGAGAAAATGCAATGCAATATCTACTCGAAAAGAAGAGACTTCCCACTGTTCAACTACCCACTTTATGGTTGAAACCATGGTGACATTTTTATGAAATTTAGATTTTAGCAAATTGTGGCATGACAATATCTGTTCATATTAGCCGCTTGCTATCAAACAGAGAATTTCTTCTTTGAGAGGATTTTATATTATCTAATTTTGCCACACATGTTCGAACAGATGCATATGCTTACACAAAGCAAACATACAGAGGATCCAGAAATACAAAAGCTAATGAAATTGTAAGATATCATTTCGTATTCTAAGCATAAATTAGAGCAGATAGCAAACGTCTTTGCTTGTTAAATAAATTGGTTTGGTGTTGTGTAGGTGAGTTCCAGAACTGGGGTGACGCTTAATAGTTCTAGTAGAAGCCATAGATCAGTAAACAATGGGCAAGTTTCAAATCAGATGGTTCCATATGGGAAAGGTCAGAGCTCAAGGCAAACTGGTGATATATCCCTGGCCCTGGCTTTTGCCTTTGAGAATGGAGGGAAACTAAAAAGAAATGATTCAATTATGGGTTTCCTTCACCAAATTAAAAGAGGAACTTTGGAATTCAGCATGTCAGAAAGACAATTAGCTTCAACTAGCAACTATCCTAAGCAAGTAAACGAGATATCCAAAGGTGCACACAAACTAAATCAGATACTGAGAGCCTGCTCCAATGGTCTTAACATGGAAACATATTCGATACAATTTGCAAAGGAACTATTGCAAGGAGCTATTGATTTGGAAGAGTCCCTCAGGATGCTAGTAGACCTGCAAAATAATTCACAGTTTATGATTACCTCGCAAAAGAAAAATCGAATCACACTATTAGAGGAAGATAACGACGATGATGATGACACAGGCATGGAAATGCAACTGGCAAGACCAACTTTCTCTTTTGACAAACATACTACTCAGAATATACAACAACTTGGAAAGACTATTTTAATGCAGGGGCCAGTTACTCTTACCAGCTCTAAGGAAGGCAGAAACTCAAATAATGAGAACAAAACCGTGAAGAGACAAGTTTCTCGGAAGAGATCAACTAAAACTAGCTCTATCTCTACCTCTGGCATTAAGAATGTCAATGCTAGTTCAGAAGGGAAAAACCAGACGGCCTCCAACCCAGAGAAGGGTAGGATTCCAAATGTAATAGCCAAATTAATGGGGCTGGACATCCTTCCTGACAAAGTGGAAATGCAATCAAAACACGTGATGCTACAGAAAAGGGAAGGAATATCACCCAAGCATACTGCCAAAGGAAATACTAAGAAGATTGAACTGCAGAGCAAAGAAACAGATAATTTGGTTCCTCTAAAAAACCAAAAAGTGATTGAAGCCTTCAAAACGCCTGCAATTCAGGGTGAAGAGATGATATCTGGGACAAATAAAAACTTGCTTGTAGAAAAAACCAGCTCTGAGTTGTCTCTTCAGAATGGAAAACCACCGTGGAGAGACCTGGATGGAACAAAAGCACTGAAAGGATTTGACAAGCCCAGCATAAAAGTTGACAAGCAGACTAAAAGTTCCGCTGAAAAGAATCTTACTAGAGAAAGTCAAAAGGATGCTCAGGAGATAGAAAGAAAGAAGGATCACCCCAATAACAGTGACAGGGAGCAGAAAGGCACTGTAAAGGGCAGAACCAATGACCCAGTTCCGAACAACATGCTATCCCAGATGGAACAAGTGGATGAAAGATCAGAAGCTAAGTCCTCGATTCAGGAAGACAAGGATGTCAATGCAAATATTCTTCAGCCTGAAAAAAGACACACAAACAAGAACATCATGAACAATGAAAGGAAGTCTCGGAACAACGTTGGAATACCAAAGTCACACGTACTCTCCAAAAATGGTCCTCATGAAGAAAAACATCGCAGAGAACAACAACTCCAGGTGAGGGACGAACAACTGTTAATGATGAGACCACAAGGAGGGAATGAAATGACATCAAAGAATTCACCAAAATCTCCTCTTCCTCAGAAGAAACAGCTATCCATGAACCAGGCCACACTGTTTAAGAAAATCGTTGGAGAAAAAAATGTTGCTGCTATGAAATCGGAAGGCCTTTTAACTAATCATTATGATCTAGTCAGATATGAAGCATCCAATCATCCAAAGAACAAAGTAAAAGAAATTGTACATAGGAAGTCAGGCCAAATTTGCTCTCCAAGAGATCAAGAATATGAACGAGCTAAGAGAAGTGGCATTAGAACTTTGATGGATGAAAAACACGTCTATAAACTGGCAAGCAAGAAAATAAAGAATTCCAGAAAGCAAAGTGTTGATGTGCCCGGAAAGATTGATCGAGTGTTGACTGGAAGAAATGGAGCCAAGCTCATCTCTAAACAAGGAAAACAGCAGATTCCCATTGCTGACAAATTTGAAGTTTTGAATGAAGCTGAACAAGAAACGATTCGCTTGGTCAGAGAAACAGATGCACAAATCATTAGCCCCAATGAACCAGTATATGTGGATTCGACTGAACCATTGGATGTGAGGCGCCAACCCCATAAGGAAGCTGAACTACCTCCTACATTGTCCAGTTCTGTTGGCGGAGAACTTCAAAGCCAACAAGATTTGGTAGCATTAGTTCCCAATGATTTGGTAAGCTCTTTTTTTACTAGCATCTAAATCCATCAAACAAAATATAAATTAAATGGTGAAAAAGTTTCTTCCCATAAGAAAAAAGAAACGTCAAAGTCATTGACAAGCAGCTAACATATTCCTTGTTGAATGCATTTACAGCATTGCCAAGCTGTGTTATCATCGCCAGATCCTGTTGCAGCAGATGAAGGATTCGTGACTGGTGAGGTTGCATTACAGAAAACAAATGGTGAGTATGTATAACTATAATATTAGATTCAAGTTTAATTTAAGAAGAAAATAGCATCTCATCTTCTGCTGTGTACTGCATTGAGAAAGGGCCCTTACCAGCTCTTGTCGGTTAAGTTCACCCTTCATATATTTATAATCTTTCCCACAAAATCCATCAAAACCTTTCTTTGGTTCAGCATAGTAGAAGCATGACTAAAACCGAATAACAGCCACTAATAGATCTCTCGGTTCATCTTTGGCACAAGTTTGAAAAATAATTCGATAAGAAGTGGAATGAATAAATTAGATGTTACTTAGATTTGATTAATATCACAGGAATTCAGGAAGACAGATTGCGTGTTAAGCACTCAAACCTAGAAGGTCGGAATATTTCTGAAAAAAGCTTCCAACAGCCACTAACAGAAAGTGAAAACTGCCTCAAGTGGATACTGGTCATGAGTCAACTATTCGTCAACACTGCAGAAGCACTTTTCAAACTGAACATCCCGTTTAACGTTCTTCAAGGTGGTGGTCGGGAGATTCAAGACCAAGCCAGCAAACTCATATTAGACTGTGGGTATGAAGTGATGAAAAGAAAGGGGATACGGCAGGAACTCAAAGTACATAGTTATTCAACTATATCAATGGGTACCGCCAACATAATAACCTTTGATGACTTAGTTAGGCAGCTGAATGAAGACATGGAGAAGCTCAAATTCTACAGTAGGAAAAAAAGTTATCAAGTTGTTGAGGAGGACTACCTTTCTAAAATGCTTGAACATGATGTTTATGACAAAGATCCAGACATGAACTGCATGTGGGATTTAGGTTGGAATGATGAGACACTTGCATTTATCGAGAAATACGATGTTATAAGGGATACAGAAAAGCATATACTTAGTGTTCTACTGGATGAGATCACCCTGGATTTTTACATGTTCAATCAGACACCGAAACAGTAGAAAGAGGGCTGCTCCAAGGGGGAGGATATGGAGCTAAGGATGTGTAATTTTTCCAATGCAATTTTGTGTTTTTGTAATTTATAAGGATAAGGATTTGATTACTGTAATGATTTCGAGCTTTAGAAATTAATTCTGTATTGTCGTATCAATTTAGTGTGGTTTTCGAAATCAAAGCTTGTGTTATTCTGTTTTCCCTGTCTGTTTATTTTTTTATAACAAGGACGCAAATGCTAGCCAGCTACCAACAATAGAATTATTCTCCGTTTTTAATTTATGTATATGAAAAATACTTATTATATATAGTGTGGTAGTGGTAGTGTTAGTGTGAGTGTGAGTGGGAGTATGAGTGGTGGAGTGAAGGGCATGATATGATGATATAAAAGGAAAGAATATTCTATTCTTCTGTCTTGCATTAACTACAGGTACAGGTACTTACTGGTAGAAAGCTGGTCCCAGAAACAAAAATAAAATCGAATTCCAATTCCAATCGGAAGGCGAAGGGCATGGCATCATCGTGTTCAAGCTCATGCCTGGGGTTCGAGTTCCTGACGAAGAAGCCCTACAATCCCCCATCCTGGGCGTCCCATCTCCACCCTTTACCTTCCCACGTCTTCTCTCTTGCCCATGTTTGTATTTATTTCTACAGCCCATTCTCCCCTCTCCTCCTTTCTTTTCTTATTCATTCATTATCCAATTCAATTCTCTTCATGCTTTCTTTCTCTCTCTCAGCTTCCCACTCCAATTCACCGATGGAACCTTCCCAATCTGCCCACCAATACGGAGCTCTGGATCAAAGTATGTATGCATTCATCCTCTTCCGCTATTTATTCGTTCTTTCTTCATCACTTACTCGCGCACTCACCCCAAGGTATTGTTGCGTAGCGAGATGACCTTTCCGGAATGCAGCTGAGTGGAAACAAAGTGAGGAAATTGGAGTTCCTTATGGCCGATGCCGTTGCGCAAGGTGCCGACTCTGTCATCACAATCGGAGGCATCCAGAGCAACCATTGTCGCGCCACTGCCGTCGCCGCTAAGTATTTAAACCTTGATTGTTTTCTCATCCTTCGCACCTCTAACCTCCTCGTTGACAAAGATCCGGGACTCACAGGCAATCTTCTCGTTGAGCGTCTCGCTGGAGCTCACGTTCACCTTATATCCAAAGAAGAGTATTCAAAAATTGGAAGCGTGGTCAGTCTTACGCTCCTGCCTCCCATTCTTTCATCCATTACCTTTATTCCTATCCTCTCGTATTGCCATTTTCTGTCTTTTCTTTTAACCATCATCATAATCTCTTAGTTATATGCATTAATTATGCAATGCAGCTTAACTTCCATCAACTTTACCCTACTACACAAAATTGCTTTCAAACTAGCACATGCTATTCTTTACATTAAAGACCTACAAATATTGTTGTACCTATTCGACAAACTAGCATCCTTGCAGTCACAGTCATGGAGAAATATTTCTGTTCGCTGGCATGCTGCATAATATATTTGGTGTTTGTCCTGTGAGAAACCTCTTGATCTTTCTTAATGTATAATGTTTATAAATTTTTTAGCCAAAAACGTTTCTTTCTTTTTCGTCTAATTTTAGAGACCTTGTATTTTCATAATTGGTGTCCCTTGTTGTGTTCTTATCTTGCACATTCTCCAAATTCTGCTTCAATTTTTGTTGGATTTTTCTCGTTATGTATAAATGTAGCCTTTGATTGTTTCTTCATTTTGAGTTTTTAGAAATTGGAGTTAGATTCATATGACCTCATTTTGGAAGCAACATCTTGTTTTCTCGCCTCTGTTTTGAGTCGGCTAAGCTGATATGTTATCTGTGGAACTCTTTCTTAGACACTCACCAATGTCCTAAAAGAAAAGTTGATAAAGGAAGGGAAGAGGCCATATGTTATACCTGTTGGGGGATCAAACTCTTTGGGAACATGGTGAGTGAGACTATATCTTTACTTTCATGCTTTTTATAGCTTTCCAAGGTGAAAATTATGTTGCTTATTGTTTCAATCTAATCCGAAATTATTTATGTGTCTTGCTTGAGCTTTTGGATATTTGGTTTATGACATGGTTAATGACTTGGTCAACGTTAGAACCGAGCCCATTTTAAGAGTCTAACCCAGGAACAAAATGGATAAGAATAGCTAAACTTGTATATAAACTTTGTTTCGGGTAGAGCTAGTGCTAGTTAAATGGGTTAATCAATCGAAAGAAAAAGCCACCTAGGAGGATGTTGTTACATTTCGAAATCAGTTTCTTGATTTTAACCTTTGAGACAAGGTTGTTTAGAGGAGGGCAATATTGTTTGGGCCCAAGAGTCTATACCCATAGGAACAAAATAGGTCGGACTAGCTCAACTTGTATGGAAACTTTTGTTGCATCTGTGGAGGGGTATGTGAAAGTCGTTGTGTAACCTTGAGCAATTAGCTCGGTGGAAGGATACTATCGATTGGCGAGACTTTTGTCTCTTGAGTGCAATGCAAAATTCTTTTGTCTCTCTCATTTTGTTTTCTCGTCATCTTGGTGCCTAGCTGTCGATCCTTATCCCACGTTACTTTTTATGGTTGAGTTAGGCCTAGCTTATTGCAACAAAATGTGTAAAAATAGCTAAACTTGCATACTAATTTTTGTTGCATCTGTAGAGGGTTAAGTTAACCGTCACTGTGTAGCCTTCAGCAAATTATCTCAGTGGAAGGGAAATACCCTATGCAATGCAAAATTCTTTTGTCTCTCTCTCTTTTTCTTTTCTCATTATCTTAGTGCCTAGTAATCAATCCTTCTCCCCAAATTACTTTTTATGGTTGAGTTAGCTTACCTCATTTTCAATTTTAAATTTGTGTTGTGACCTAACTAGTTATTCTTGTATGGTCTCTCAATGTGCATCAAATGCACCTTTTTAGTTAGGATCGTCAAAATGGGTTCATTCGAGACTAACACAAAATCAAGTAAACCAAACCTAAAAAATTCTGACCTAAATTGAATTGTTATTTTTTTACACGATCCATTTAGTTCTTGGTCCAATCGAACTTAGATTGAATTGAGCCATGAGTTCATGGACTGACTCCTTACAAAATGATAATTATATTTTAAAAAATAAAAATAATATTATTTTATTAAAACATCTACATGTATTATAATATCTAAAATTAATATTATATCATTAATATTACTTAAATTTAAAAAATATATTTTTTATTTAAAGTTATTATTTTATTTTATATTATTATTTTTTAAAAGCATGTCAAAATGATTTGTTGATCTAACATAGGGCAAGACCAAACCTATATAAACAACCCATTTAAAATATGAGTCACAAGCCTAAAAACAGCCCTTTGTTAGACCTTCCTCCTAATACACATTTTATAGGTGACCTGTCGGGTTAGAAGAACACCTCTATCTATAGTTAAGCTTCGTTGGTAGGATAGTCTCTTACCATGTTCTAAATACTCTTTTTACTCCACGGTGGTTGTTGTTTAAATATATTTAGCTAAATAGGTATTTGTATTGAAATTGGGGAGATCATATATGGATGGAACGTTTGAACCACATTGTTCCTAAATTGTGACCATGGATAACTTTATTATTTATTTATTTTACATTCTTAGTATGATTAAATTATTCCTTTCAGGGGTTATGTAGAGGCGGTACGGGAAATTGAGCAACAAATTCAGAAGGGGACCGAGAATATCAAGTTTGATGATATTGTTGTCGCTTGTGGCAGGTTATGGCCTACTTGATTTTTTTCTCTTTATATCTGAGTAGGCTACTTTTTGTAACAACTTTCTGGCATTTTGCAATATGATAATTAGTAAATCAAGATCTGGTTTCATAATTATGAGTGTCAATGCTTTCAACTCATAACTTACAACAAAACATCTCACTGAATATGAGCTTAATCAGTGTTATGGTTCATTTCGTAATTGGTACACTACCTTAAGAGAACATTATCTATTAAATCATAGTTAATTATATTTTCATCTATTTAATATCGTACATTTTTAATTTCAGTGGTGGCACAATTGCTGGTCTGTCACTAGGATCATCATTGAGTACATTGAAGGCAAAGGTATATCGTCCATTAAGATGACTCACATAATTTATGTTTTTGTGAGCCTTTTTATATTATTTAAGTGCTCCCTGCAGGTACATGCATTCTCTGTTTGTGATGACCCAGATTACTTTCACAACTTTGCTCAAGGTTTGCTTGATGGACTCAAAGCTGGTGTTAGCTCGAGAGATATTGTCCACATTCAAAACGTGAGTGTCTTGGTATTTTTCCTAGTTGGTAAGATTTATAAAGATTCGTTTGTGAAACTGAAACATGATATTTTTCTTGGTCTTGCTGTTGTTGGTTTTCATTCTCTGTTCAAATTGGATAACTCCTTACCTAGGGAAAAAAGTATAAAATGGATGATAAACTCCCGCAGAGCTAACATGCTTGTGTGACAAATCATAACACGATCTGTACAATCACATTCATTTGTGATCTGAAAAACTTGCTTCATTTACTTGGTTTAACAATGCTTTTTAATTGAATGAGAATTTAATTGTTTACAGGCCAAGGGTCTTGGCTATGCAATGAATACATCTGAAGAGCTTAATTTTGTAAAAGATGTTGCTGCGGCAACTGGTGTTATTCTTGACCCAGTATACAGGTATTTATTTGCTCCACACGTACTATCTAAGTGTTTTTTATATGGGTTTTGGTTGGGACAAACTTCTCTATGAGGAATTCTAGGAGGAAAAAATAAGAAGAAAATATTAAATGAGTTTTTCCTTGAGTTAAAATTAGTGTACGTAAGCAAATTTTTAGAAGCTCTATCATATTTTTTCTAATTTTTTTTTTTAACTTGTGCATCAACTAATTTAAACTTATGGAGAAATTTATTTCATTTTTTTCTTCTTGAAGTCCTTATAAAGAAATTTTTCCAAATAGATTCTCAAGAACAAAATTACTACTTTTGTACATCACGTGAATCTCATGTTCACAATTTTGGTCCTCTAGTTTTAAAATAACATTTGGTCTCCTTTACATCTGTAGTTTTGGATTGATCCTCATATTTGTCTACATTAATTTATTTCTTATAGTTTAATTAACTAATTCATTTTTTTTTTATGATAACAAAATAAATATGTTAGGTCTAGAGTTTAAGTGAACCAAAATAAAAAAATAAAACATATGTAAAATTGAAAGTTGGACCAAAATTACAGATTTTCTAAAATAAGATCAAATGTTTTTATTTTAAATAGAGGAACAAAATTGCAGATTGGCCAAAATAAGGGAACCAAAATTGTATTTAAGCCAAAAATTGATGCTAAAAAGTGGTGCTATTATTTGATTGGCATAGGACTTAGTGTACATTCATATTCAGGTTATGGCTAATCGTTAATATTCAAGAGACAGAAAAAGTCATGTAAAAAAGTTTGCGAATTTATGAAAACTTAAATCTTTAATACTAAAACTTATGGCCCTTGTTAACAAACGTGTAGTGTACCATTCATTAATCCGTGTAATTACTTACATGAGAGTATTGAATGTTCTTTTGAATTTTCAGGGTATTAAATTATTTTCCTTTCGTTTAGTACTCATTCTTAATTTCTTTACATGAACCTCAAGGGAATTCCTCTACATATTCCAAACTTGAAAGGGAAAAAAAGTTTAGTAATAGAAAATGTGATAGTTGGATCTTATTAATTGAATATTGCTAAGTTTAGTTAACTTCATATTCGGTTGTTAAAACCCTCTCAGCGGTAAGGCTGCTTATGGAATGCTGAAAGATATGTTGGAAAATCCAAAGAAGTGGGAAGGGAGAAAGATCCTCTTCATACATACTGGTGGCCTTCTAGGATTGTATGACAAGGTTGATCAGTTGGCTTCTTTTATTGGGAATTGGGAGCGAATGGATGTTAATGAATCTGTTCCTAGGCAGGATGGTATTGGAAAGATGTTCTAGAAAAGTAAAACGCCTCTATATTTTGTAGTGGCTTGCCCAAATAAGTTGTATACTTATTTTTAATAGTCATGCACACACTTAATCCAGCTTGAATTTACCATATGATAATGAGGGACAATAAATCATGTTTGTTATGATTAATGCTTGTTTTACATTAGAACGTAATTAGAATATATGTTCTCAATTTGCCAGTGCAAAGTATTGGAAAATTTTCCATGCCTAGTAGAGTAATTGATTGCATATAATCCTAGACTTAGCTGGACATAACCGCGGAGGAACAAGAGGAGGTGAGAGATGCAATGGAAAGGATCTTTAGAGCATGTGTTGTTTCATTACTCCTTTTATATTTTTTTTATAACGTTCAGATTATTTTTTTTGTGTTGTAAGATTTAGTATCTCGTGTCATCCAATTATATTGATTTTATTATTAAAAATGGATAATTGTGTTTCAAGGGTTGTCAACAGAATTACATGTCTCCTATATGGAATAGACATAGGACAACGAGGCTACGAGGCCAACAATATTTTCTCTATTTTATATATTTTCTCCCTTTCTTCTAGAATTTTTTGGGCATTGTTTATGAAGTTCCAACATGTTTGGTCTCGAGTGCACACGTTCAAACACGTCGCGGTTTAAACCTTGGGGAACAAACCCGATATTGGATTGCACTAGAGATCCATCGGAATTTGATTTCAAGGACAATGATATTTGCCTCAACCCAACTTATTTCTCTTACATTTCAAACAATCTAAAAGCAAATTTTTCAATGATTTTGTAACTCCATAAGGCATTGCTTGATATGTTAAAGCTCGATCCTCTTAAAGGTATCAACTACAAGTGATGGTCAAAAGGTTGTTCATCCTTTTCGAGTATGGTCGACTACATTTTATTCAAAGGTGCACCTATCATTCCTCTTGAGGGAAGCAATGAAGCTGTGAAAAAGGCAATTGAGAACCCTGAGAAACATTACAAGCTAGTTCATGTTCATCTTCTATCATATGTATAATAATCTTTTTTTATCTGTGTCAAATATGCAACATCTATTTGGGAGATGCTTGAAATTAAAGTATGGTGCGGTTACCGATAATAGTTGATGATAAATCAATCATGGAACAAAATATGGTTATTTAGTGTTAAATATGGTTATTTATGTTCTAAATGTACGATGGAGTTCGTCGATACAAAGATATATATATATATATCGATTTTTAAATCAATTTTAAAGATGATTTGGGAGTCTAACGTTTAAGTCAACTATTAGATAAAATATTGATGTATATGAGAATGAGGTATGAGATAAGATTATTCTATAATTAGATCTTTATATAGTATTTAAAAGATAATAATAAATTAAAATATAATTATTTGATAATTCATAAAATAATAATTAGTATAAGATATTATAACAAAAATAAAGATAATTAATAGCAAAGACTGGTAAATATAATTAAATTGTTGAATCGTTTTATATATATATATATATATATAGATGAAGAAAAAAACCAACAATACTTTTTATAACTGAATTAGCTTATTTGATGCTAATCTTGTGAATGTGCTTATACCACTCTTAGGGAAATTTACAAAGATATATAAGAATGAATAACATGCGAAATAAGGAAAATGTGAAATTCAACAAACTGCTTGTTACATCCAGAAAAATAACTTGTATATTAGGTTGTATATCAAAATTTAAGTGATCCAACCATTAAATTTATTAATATTATGTTGTAAATCAAAATTTAAGTAAATTAGACAGGTTGGTAATCTGATAGCCAAAATTTATTTATATATTGAAAAGTTCTATGTAGTTATATTTATATTTTGATTTATTAAATCTTGAAGATATTTTTTTAATTAATAAAAGCATTTAACTTGATGATTAGATAGTTGAAATTTAATTTATACGAAGACTAATTATTGAGTGCAGTAACTAAAATTAGAATAATTTAGGATATTTTCATTTACATTGAAAACTGGGATGAAAAAGTAACTAATGTAAAGAAATAAATAAAAATATTTTTTTATTAGGCATCAAGAAACGCTGAAAAAGAAATATGCCACTCTTCATTCTAATTCTGCATTTTTTATTTTCTGTTCAAAATAGCAGAGAATGTAAAAAAAATATTTCATAAAATTATTCCTCTTCAATAAAAGTTATTTATTTTTATATTTATGATCCTTAATTTATGTTTATATTAATCTTTTATTATGTTATTGTGAAGCGTGATAAATAGGAAAAGAATTATAAAAATAAATAAATAATTTAATATATTTCATAATCTTTTAAGTAGTTTATTTTATAAATTTAAATTAAAATATTTTTAGACAAAAAATATTTTATAATTATTTATCAAATTATATATAGTTAAAAAAATCTGAATTTAAAAAAAATATTTTGTTTATAAAAAATCAATTAATAATTATATAAATAGTTTTATAATTATAAAAATATTTAATTAATTATATTATATGACACCTTTCTTTTCGAACATATATATATATATATATATATAAATATATTTTCATATATATCTTTCTTTTTATTTAACTTTTTTTTTCTTTCATCATACTTCCCTTAATCTCCTTCCACTCACAAATATACCACTTTTAACATTTCCATTTGTTTTTTAATAACTCATTATTTTGAAATAAATAAATAATTATGGAATTTTATATTATGAAGGAATTGTTCATTTTTTGTTTTGAAAGGATGTCATAGTTATTTTTTATGTATGATATATTTCCATTTTTTTATATAAAAAGTACTCTTCATTGATTAAAATGAAAAATTAGCAATATTTAATAAGGTAATCATAAATGTATCACTTTGTGGATGTGAGACGGGAAGATGGAAGATGTGAAAAAAAAATTAAGTTGAAAAAATTTCTAATTTAAAAAAAGATAAAAAAAATATTTCGCGTAAATTAACGAGTAAACATAAAAACTAACATACAATTTATAAGCTAATATTAACTTATAAAAATAAACTTAAAAATTGTAGTGTATATATATATATATATATATATATATATATATATATATATATATATATATATATATATAATATGATTGATTGAAATTAATTTATAAATCATTTAAATAAATAAAGTGTTATATTTATTTTTATTTCAACTTTAATTTGATTAACATTAGACTTAGATGACACAAAAATGATTTTTTAAATGAGTTGACACAAAAGTTATTTTTTAAATAAGTTGAGACTTTTGAAAATAAATTATTTGAACCAAGCATATGCTTGTTAAAAAAAATCAAATAAAGAAGTTGGATATTTGAAATAAATATAAACAACATAATAGCACTTATATTATCATTATATTTATTAAATTTCTATTACAATTTATTTATTAAAAGACTCAGATCTACATGATGATTTAAGCCCATTAAGTTATTTAGTGGTAGTTTGGTTTTTTTTTTTAAGGCTTTAGACATAAATGGAGCATTTTTTAAGGCTTTAAAGTAGATTAAATTAGGTTTAAAAGGTTAAGCATTTTAAAAGGGTAAAATAGGCTAAACCTTGCAAAATTTATATAAAATTAATAGATTAAAGTTATGCCTTATATTTATATAACAATTTAAAATTATTTAAGAAAGATGAAGGTGATATAAACAATTTTCATCCGTAAATTTAGCATATGATTGATAATTGAGGTTTAGGGAAGCATAGAACGTTCTTTTTTATTTTTGTTTATTTTGAATTATTTGTATAAGAATAAAAAAATCCATTATTTTCTCTATGAACATTTAAAAATCTAACATTTTTATAATTTAAATTTAAATAAAATAATATTTTGGAGACCCAAATGCTTCAACAAAATTTTCAGGAAAAAACAATAATCATCCCAGTGCTACCAATGGCAAATTCCCAATATTGTAAGTGAAACCTAACAAAATGTTCCTTAAACAGTATTAAAATACAATTTGATTGCTCCCAAATTGAGTTTCAGGTTCCATGCAACGCAAGCACAGGTCTTAAATGATTCACATTATCAGCAGCTTTTCTTTAATCTTGACCGGTGCTCCCTCCCAAGTGTGGTGTCACACGCCATGCAAAATTGGATGGAGTATCTATATAATATATATCACAAAAATATTACTAGATAGCCTAAAAGAATTATCACACACCATGTACAAGAAGATTCTAAGATTTCCCTGTCCAGCAGAACAAAGAAAGTATCAACCTAACTAGCATACACCATACGTGCAAAATTACATCGTTTGATCGAATGGTTAGTCACTGGAATACAGTTTGGTTAGGGTAAGGAGAGAGACATTTCCCACAGCCAACACACCTTCCAATGCAGTATGCATGAATGTAGAATGGAACAACTCTTTTCATTTCATCTTTAAAATAGATTATGAAAAGCAAGTATGGATATATCAGTGGGTCCTCCACTCTGAAATGATGAACCTAACCCAACTTCGGGTTGGTGAGATTAGTACCATAAAGAACCCTCCAATATTTCAAGATGATATGGGTTCATAAGGGTATGATAGCCATGGATGCTTCAGAGCTTCAGATGCAGAGGGCCGCTTCTTAGGGTTGACTTCAAGCAAGTGAGCCACAAAGTCAATGAAGCCTTGGTCTCCCATTGGCAATCTATGCCTCAAGGATGTCTTTTTTGGAATCAAGTATTCTAACCTGTTGGTTTCCTGTAGATTAATAAACAATACATTTACTGACAAACATTCAACCAAAAAATGCAGAGGCAATTGCAATTTTAATATAACACGGTAAGAAGTAAAACCTCAAGCAGCTAACATCTATGAGAAACAACTAATACGCAACTTTTGTTAATCACTCTTAAGCTATAGATAAATGAAAATTTACTGCATTGCCTTGAGTTTTCAAGAAGGTTCTGATAAAAAAGAGGTTCTAATAATGTAAAGTGTCCAAAGAGATATATGTCGTGGGTTCAAATTCGCTATTAACATATAACAATTAACATTTTCCCATAATACATATATATAAAACGTCCAGTCAAGATCAGACACTAAATGTCTAATTTAACTAGGTTAAATTATAGCCCTAGCTCCTAGGAACTAGCTAATCTACATCAATATTCCAGATTGATGGCTACTCCATTTGGTACAAGTCAAAAATAAGATTATTACCTGATTTCTTTCATAAAGCATATGATTTTTGGTGAAGTACTTATAGGTATCCCGTCCTTTTGCAAGCATACCTTGATCAATTGGACCAATGATCCCAATCACTCTAGCAAGTAATGTCGCAGGCGAATCATTTTGGAAGAGGACCTACAAAAGGCTTAGTTTAGCGCCACTGAAGGAGAACATAAAATTAATCATGCATTTAACAAAGAAAAGAAAGCACTCCCCATAATACAGAGACATTCTACAACTGCTTTCAAACAAAAACTAATAACAATCCCACAATTGCATAGAAAGCCAGTGCATTTGATATTATATTTGATAACTATCATCGGGTCCGTGAATGGTGCAGAAACAAAAATCCCTATTAACATAAACAATCTAAACCACAACAGAACAACTAACTTCAATAGCAGAAGATCATTGCTCAAATAAAACAAACACGACACAAAGCAATGCTGCCCTCAGTCAAGGAAGGAATTTAACCTCGCTTCATTACAAGGATAATCCGAGTCTATTTAATGATGAAACTTCAGTATCTGGAAAGACACCATCATCAAGAAAAAACAAATAATCTTGCCTAAAATGAATTTAAGTGGTGAGCTTAATTTCCAGCAAAACAGACCTTTGGACCTGAGGTAGTAGAAACATTTTTATGCCTTTTACACGTGAGAATTTCTATGGCTCCAGAGAAAAAATTTCCGTACTAAAAACTCAACTGTTTATCAAACTTTATGCCATTTTAAACTACATTAATCATAATTGGTCCTTACATTGCCGGTACAAAGTTCTGCCAAGATGCAGCCCAGAGACCAGATATCAATTTTCTTATCATATGGAAGTCCCAAAATAACCTCAGGAGCACGGTAAGATCTGGACTGAACATATGAGCAAAGATGATCTGTCTCGAAACAACTACTTCCAAGATCAATGACCTTCACCTCACATCTACTATAGCTCTTAACCAAAATATTCTCTGGTTTCAAGTCGCAGTGTATTAGTCCAAGGCTATGCAAAAATTGAAGTGCTTCCAGACACTGAATGGTAATTGACTGCATAAATAAATTCAGAAGAGTTTGCACCGAGAATAGATAAATGAAAATTCAACATTAAGAAGTCAATGGTACACCACAAACCTGTAATCTTGGCATTGTAAAGTACACTTCACCACCTGATTCTCTATTAAATTTATGAAACTCGTACAAGTTTGCTTTAAGTAGTTCACATACTATTAACAAATGTTCCTGCATACGATGGATAAATAGTGAAGAGTAGTAAAGTCAGTTGACAAACATGGCATACAATACAACTATTAATGAATAATCCCATTCATAAATTAACAAAGTTAAATATACACGGTAGATTGCAAAGTTAGATGACCATAGTTTAAAAGAAATTTCTTCCAAATTCCCATCACTTGTTCCCATATTTTGAATACTTAGTCATGTAAGGGCATAAAATATTTGACAAAGCTCGGTACCAGTGTTAAAGGTTTATACCATATCCAAGAATAAATTGCAAATTTCAGAAATCAGAAACACTAACTCGTTACATAGCAGTTTTGTAGTTGAAATTAACAGAACTGAATGAGATTTTAGAAGATATATAAAAATAATAACAAATAGGAGCAGCACTCAACATCACCTAAATATGCTAGTTCACAGCAGTATAAACCAAATAATGGATGCTGTGGAAATTATAAAAAGGCATGAAAAATAATTTAAGATTCAGATTCAGGAAAACTGTATATGTGCCTAAATGACAATTGATTGTTTTGAAACCAAAATAAAATAACAAGATCAATGGCAAATCCACTTACTCGATAATAGAAATAATCATATAATCGAAGAATGTGATACTTGTCTCCAGGATCATGTTTATTGACATACTTGAGAAGCTTGATCTCATCAAGACTTTGGTCAAAAAAGTCCTTGTTGTTCTTTATAATTTTAACACAAACATCCATGCCGGTATGTAGGTCATGAGCTTGTATAGCTTTGCTAAATGCAGCAGATCCCAGATACTCGGTGACATGATACCTTCCAGCTATTACAGAATTTAAAACAACAGGGAAATTCTTGTCCTCCTCAAAGCCAGTTCTGAGCAACAAAACTTAGTTTAAGAAAGACTATCAAGGCTACAAGGGAGAACAAAAAACTATCAAGAAATCATACTGCATAACAAAAATCACCCAAGCTATCAAGCTCATTAAGATCCTTTAACACAAAGGCAAAATGAAATGCTTAAAAGTTATGCAATCATTAGAGCACATATTTACCATGAAGGAAAAAGAAACCACTGTTTCAACAATATCTTCAAAAGAGGTCTCATTATAGATGTTATATTTTCTCAAGATCTTATTTTTTGAAATATAAGAATCAAAACTAAGGATTGAAGCAGCTTTAGGAATTCATAACCATCATCAACTAGTCTACAACACAGGATACTCTTAATCACAACTGAGCATAATATCATTTATTTAAATTTTAAAAAAGACCAAATCAGGATTGCTGTGGATATAAACATACTGACATTGCTAATTACATTGCAACTAAATTAAGACACACTATTACAACATTGCTGTGATAAATCATGCATTTTATTCATTACGAACTGTAAATACCACTCACACCAAAAACTTCATGAGATGTTTATATTAATATGAATTTTTTACTAAGTGTCTATAGGTTAAGAAAAGTGATCATTATGATATTTTTGGAGATGTTATAGCAATGTTCTCTCATGAATGGTCATTCCATGTTATTCATCTTAATATTCTCATTTCTGTTATCCTAGCCTCACTCTAATGTTGTTAGTCCACCTTTCACTACAATCTATGTTAGGTATATGGCAGTATGATAGTAGATCATTGGATAATAGGTGTATGTTAAGCAAAACAGAGAGAGATGGGGATAACTGTCAAAACAACTGAGTTAGTTGCATTAAGAGGAATTAGTGACTCTTTGGAAAGGGGATAAATAGGAAAAAGGCAGGAACCAAGGGGGTCCTTTTTTGGGAAATGTTGACAGGGTGAAGAGTGTGCCTCTCGATGGGCCTAAGCAAGGATCTTGGGAGAGAATTGTATCATTCTTTTGTGAATAAAATTCTTTTACCTTGGTACCAATTAAACAACTGGTGTCACAGTACAGTGATTGTCTCTGAAAGGCCCAAATGAAGCAGTTGTGAAGTGTCATAAGAGTGTGAAACACCACAATTTGGACCCCAAAGTCTCGCATTGAATAGTTTGGAATACTAGGTAGAACATTTAAGCATTTGGTTCTTCCCCCTTAACAGCTAGTTTTTTAATACTAAGTTCCCGAAATGCATGAATGATTATCATAGTATGATAAAACTTGCCTTAGAGTTTGGTAGGTACTTTGCAATCACAAATCAACCCCAATGTCTTTTTCCATTTTAGTCACCCTGCTTGTATCCTATGTGTAACATCCCCATTAATTTCTCCATCATTTTAAATTATAAATCCAAATATTTAAATTAGAAACCTATGTTATGATATCATCTCCCACGTTTACTTCTAACTCATATTCCTCTTATCTTGCACTGTGTAGACTCTGTCTTACTCCTACTTAAGCGATACCCTTTGCTTCCAAAGTTCAAGCTTAACGTTAATTGCTTTCACTTGATTCCTTAGTCAAGACTATATCATCAGCAAAAGCCATGTAATTTGGGACAATATTCTATATGTCCCCAATAAACACACCATCCAAGAATAGATTAAACAAGGACTGAAGACTGAGTCATGATAATTATATCCTTATAGGAAAGTGTTTGCTTCTTGGAGTTCTCACACTGGTAGTAGTTACACTGTCATAGCCAGTCCCAACCTCAGGTTAAGTAGGATTCCATTAGGCCCTCGGCAACCAACAGAAAAATCAGCATTATTCCAAACATTGATTACTTATGATATGCAAACAATAGATTAATTTGTGACTAAAGAATGGAGAAAGTTAATCAAAAAGATATTCTTCCCCATATAAAACTCAACTTAATTGAAGGATGCATGAAGTGCATATCAAAGTTTCATAGTCCCAAAAAATTTATAAAATACACTTTTAAATCATTTGCAAATTGAGGTAAATAGTAGGCATGCTTATTGGATATGTATACTTGACCAGTAAATATCATGATTAGTGATTATAGCTCAAATTAGCACATGCACACAAACAAACAAATATGTGCTAAGAACATGCCTGTTTTTCCTGTGCACAATCTTTAGATTGAAGGTTTCAAATTCCTCCTCCTGTGCCTTTATCTGCCTAACTTGCTCTTGCACAGCAGCTACCTCTTCATCCTCCTGGGATGCTCTTAGATCATCTTCCCTTGCAATTCCAGCTTTTTCATCCTCTTCTACCTTCACATGCTCTCTTTCGGAATATCCATAATTTGATAATGTTGTTGGAGATGAGTTTGTGGATCTTACATTGTTGACATTATTATCATCCCTAGAACTTTTTACAGGTGATGAATCACTGCTCTTTCGCCTCCACAAAGCAAGCATGTCATCAGTTTCCACAAATGCACTAAGAGAGTCATCAGTTTCATCTGCATTGCCGTTATTTGACCATAGGGACCTATTGGTGGAAGCCTGAATCATCTCACCATCCTTCAAAGAAAGGGGAAATGAGAAGTTCCCATCACCATGAGTTTTTAACTGGAACTGTGCATCTCTGTCACATCCAATAACATATTTATTTGACTCACCCTTGTCATTGTTCTGATTTTTATTTGATTTGTTAGTAGATTTCTTATCCAAATCTAGATGAGAGTGCCTGGAACCACCAAGCCCGGCATCAGGATCACGGAAATATTCTAAATCTCCTTCACTACTACCACCAACCAAACTCTCCCGCACTTCACTACCAATATCTGCAGCATCACTGTTGATCCCTACACCAATTGACCTAACTGAACCATGTTGATCATCATCCATACTGATGTTCTCTAGCCGTGATCTTACGTTATCATTCAACACCCTCCCATCTCCTAGCATGATGAGTTCATTAGTTTGAGGGACAAAGCCCCGCCAGACTGGTTCTGCACACATCAGGTTCAGTTCTTCTTCATCCATCAATTGTCCATCATATTGAGCCATTAAATCATTATCATTAGTCCTTCCATACTCAGTAACTGTTAGACCAATAGGATCATCAGTACCTGTCACTGGTTCAACATTATTTTCCTGAAGATATCGCTCCCCAGAGAAGTAAGAATCCTCCTCAGCAAAAGATTGATCATCATCCTCATCTTTGGCTAGACCTCTTTCCTGAGGATCTGGAACACTTCCATGCCCAGTCCCTTTTTCATTGTCACTAGGGTAATCAATCTCATGAGCCAAAAACCAGGTCTCATCCTCAATAGGTTGTCTCATGTACCCAACATCCTCATCATCATCATATTCATCAGAGTCCCAATATTCATTTGGATAGTCAATGGATTCACTCAACCCATCACCAACTGTAGCAAATCCTGATACAAGATCAGATGTATCCTCTGCTATCCCTTGACTAACAGATAACCAACTGCCCCCTGTAGCTCTCCTCATACCTGAAGTATAAATGAAAAGGTCAAAGACAGACTTCAGAACATCTGAACAAGTATATCAAGCAAATAATAAGTACATGCAATCAGATTTAAACAAATTGTAGTTAGATGTACCCAGAAATTTGACAAGATTTAGGATCAATTCTAGATTCTAGATAACCCATAGTACAATGATTATGGCAACATTTCCTATTCAATTCATTTCATGGCAGAGGTATTAACATTGTTTTTCAAATTAAGGTACAACTCTTCAAGTATAATTTTTCTTCCCTTAATTGAAAATCAACAGAGGAAAAGAACAAAGAACGAATATTCTTGCTTATTATATGAATTGATGTTGAGAAGCTATAAGAAAATAAAAGATGTCTATAGAAACCAAAAAAAAAGTGAAATCATACATCAAGTCCAGCTGAAAGATTTGTTCTTTATTTCAATTAATACCTTAATTTTCCTCACAGGTACCACACTGCAAATATTAAAACATTTGTAGTTAACTTTTGAAATTTTTGAAAAAACAACCTCCTATGGATATAATTTTTTTCACCACAAAAGGGGAAAAGTACAGCCATGACAAGGATTTGATAGATATTCTCCCAAGTTCCAAACAGAAAACTACAAATTAAAATCCTATATCATATCAGCTATGTACAGATCACTCCTCTGTGGTGATCAAGTGGAAATTTAGAACGAACTAATACTTCAAATTGTAAAAGCAAGAAACATACAACCAAAAAAACGATAAGCCAAATACATGAAAATCCATCCTAATGGTATGGAACAAAAAAGCAATTAAAACTAAATCCCCAGACTTTAATTAAGAAAAAAGTGCCACTGGGGATTTGATCAAGAAAACAGTAAAAAGTATTAAATGGAAAGTAAAAAATTTTAGGCTTAATTATGATTTTAGTCCTTATAATTTAGGTGATTATGGTTTTAATTCTCCAAATTTAAAAAAAAAATTATATTAGTCCTCAGAATTGAAAAAATATGATTTCAATCCCTAAACATTGAATTTGAGGGACTAAAATGAGTTTTTTTAAAACTGTTTCTAGTTGTTCAAATTTAGCATTTAGGAACTAAAACCACACTTTACTCAATTTAAGGGATTAGAATGAACCGTTTTTTAATTTGAGGACTAAAAAAAGATTTACTACAAATTTCAAGGACTAAAAACATAATTAAACCAAAATTTTAATACATTAGAACAAAAAACGTAATTCTTACTTTATTTTCAAGTAAATTTAGAAAATTAAAAAAAGATATTAAATGTTCCTTAACCAGTACCCCCATATGCACTCATTAGCAAGACCCAAAGTTATTAGAATTTTACCATTTATAATCCACACCACAAATATATAAAATTTTGCTAGTCAATGATTCATATCAGGTTATAAATTATTGCAATAGATGGATGATTTTTATTATTATTATTATTATTATTATTATTATTATTATTATTATTATTATTATTATTATTCACATTTCAGATATTCAAATGCTCTATTTTCATTCTTCTGACTGTTACTCCTTCTATCCACTATATTTTGTTGTTTCTTTGCTCTGCTTTTAGTCTTCTGAGATAGAGACTTCACACATAATTATGACTCATGATTTTGTTTCATGAGACTAGAAAGTCATGTTCTAGTGTTAAATTATTATTTCCAGCACTATACATCATTTACATAATATATTTAAGGTTATATTTCAATGAGTTTCTTAATCTTATCGTTTGATATGATTTATGATTCATGATTAAAAAATTAGCTTTAACATTTCATAATTAAAATTGCAATTTAATATTATTAGCAAGACCGAATATGTAAATACGGTGGGTATGCATATAGGATAGGAAGTATACATGGGGGAAGAGTAAATTTACAACTTACTAGGAAGAAAAAAGAACATAACACAAAAAATATATTTCCTACATGTACTTCATGGAATACTATTCTGAATTGAGTAGGAACTATAAAAAATAAAATAAAATAAAATAAAAAATTCACTAACTGACCCCTTAAGAGTTGATGACTTTTGACTGACATTTCAGCAACTATATTTACTTGGACTCTTACTTCCGGGATTGGATTTTTTATCTAAGCTTGACTAGCCAAAAGCCTAAAATATCTGTTTCCCTTATACACCATGGATATAAGATTCAACTACTGAAACTTTAAATTGACATTTGACATACAAAAACTGAGGAAAAGTTTCCCATTTATAAAATAAGCTATTATCTTTATCAACCAACAAATGTAGCTACTATTAAGCCCAAAAGGGAAACCATCAATTGAAAGGCAGAAAACTTTAACGATCGAATGTAAACTTAATCCTTGTAAATATAAGCTAACCTGGAGGATTAATTTCTTGTCCAATAGGTACATCCAGATAAGAACCAATAAGTAAAGTGCTGTCAGCACCAGGGGGTTTTGAAGTTGGTCCATCTCGTTCAAACTTCTCTTCCCAATTAACAACCAAGGGCTTATCATCTGACTTGAGTTTAACTGGAGGAAGCCTAGGAAACTCTTCCTTCTGATTTTCAGGTGGAAGAGGAAAACTTAAGCTGCCAATCAACTTCTGTTCAGAACTCACTGGTGTTTTGACCAAATAAATAGACCTCCCTGACTCATCCACCTGCTCTTTTATAGAAGTCCAGGTATCACTAATTTCTACCCTTTTTTTCTCCTCTTTTTTGTCAGAATAAGTGGCACCATCAAAGCTTGTAGACACATCCCCTTTCGAGAAGGGAAAGACAGTCTTGACAGAACAATCTTTGTAGGAGTCTGAAGACGAATTCACACTCTGGTCCGTTCTTGACCAGGGATTATCTGAAAAGTTCACTTTAAGGGATGAACTATTGAATTTAAGTTGCCGATCAAGTTCCATAGGTTCTTTGCTTTGCACAAGGTCGTACTTAAGATCCACAGAGGCTTTACTACTACTTCCAGACCACAGTGATTTTTTGTCAGCAAGGGCAGCATTTTCCTCCCCAGACTTTGAACTGGTATTGGCAACACTTAGATCCACAGCTTCATTAGTTTGACATTTTGATTGTTGAGATATAGTGGCCTTCGAAGTATTATTAGCCCTACTACCAGCATCGTTTTGGTAAGGCTCCACAGGAGCTTTGCCAGGGTTGAACTTCCAGGAGTATAAATCAAGCAGACCATCCTCTGAAGTCTTAGAGAAAATGAAGTTCTTATCACTAGTTCCAACTGCTTCATCCAATTTATTCCGTTCCACCAAAGTGGGAGCAGCAGTTTTCCATTTGCTTTCGGTGGCATTTGGACCATTCCCACACTCTATTTCCTTGACAATCAGTTCATTGGAAAATTCAAGAGGGTCCACCCCTTGAATCTCAAGCACGGGCTTCCCCTTATTATTTTGAGGCACATCACGTGGGGCTTTTTCTTCCAATGTGAGCTTCTGAAGGAAGCCATTCAAGTCAGGGCGATTATTGATCTCACTGCGCAAAGCTGCTTCGGCTCTGGTGAACCGGTTCCTCCTAAGGAAGTCCAAAATCACATCAACAGAGCTTGTGTTTGTGTCCGCCATGGCGAAGCCAAGTCCCTACGACTAGGAGCCTAAACTCAAAGAAACAAACAACATAGAGGAAATGAGAAAGGGCAAAAGGAACACATGGCATTCCAACTAAAGAGCAAAGGTGTTTGCAGAAAAGAGAAAATATTAGGAAAATAAGGAAATATAGGAGGAGGGGTGGAGCTTACCCGGTATCAGGCAGAAGCAAGTGGTGCCACTGTCATTGGTAATGCGAGCAAAGCACTAAGTAGCAGGACAAGAGGTTTAAACGAATGGTTGCAAAACCTACCTTAACTTAATTTGACCTAACCTAACCTAGGTTCAAAAATTCAATCGAGATCGATGGAAGTGGCAGCAGAACACTTCAACCCCAATGAATGTGAAAAAATTGGAATGCAGGAGGGAAACCCAATGAATCAAGATCTGATTGTGAAGGATGGGTTTTATCCTTTCTTCTGAAATTCCAAGCAAGAAGTTAAAATAATAATAATAATAATAATAATAATAATAATAATAATAATAATAATAATAATATATAATAGATAAGAAGAAGAGGAAGAAGAAGAAGAAGAGTAAGAGGACGAAGACGAAGAAGAAGAGAACCTGGTGTGGTGTGAAAGTGAATACAAGTAAGAAGAGAGAGAAGGTTGGTTTGGTAGTTGAGCTTAGGAGTGGGGTTGGGTTCTCCTCAGTTCCAGTTTGGGTGTTTGCTGCTGCTAGCTCAAGGGCTTAAGGGCTCTGCCTCTGCACCCGTGTGTGCTCTGGTGGACCAAGCTTCAACCAAATCTTCCTTCCTAATCAATATATTCTTGTTCCCTGTTGTTTTTTATTTTTTTAATTAATATTGCATAACCATCACCTTAATCTTCCCCTTCTCAACCCACATTTCCATTTCTTATCTCCCCCTTCCTATCCTTATCATATTTAACTCCCACTCTTCTACTACTTTTCTATCAAATCAATTAAATCAACATCATATTTCTTTTATAAATCAACTATAAACTTTACATAATCTGCTTTAATTACGTGTTAATTGTTATAGCTTAACACAAGTCGCCTGGGATTTAAGTTTTAATTATATAACTATTTTAAATATTAAGAGTGAAAAATTACCATCCTTACTAGTCTTTTATTTTGATTTTTTTTTTTACTTTCTATAAAAAAAAGATGTTATTTTAAAAAATATACAACTTTAGATATGACTCATAAAGTTGTGATTTCATAAAAGCTTTCATTACTTTTTATTGTTGCACTTGTATTTTATTGATATGAGATGCTTTCTGTTAGGCATTACAGTATGCAATATTTATGATTAAGAGTCAAGTCAGATAAGTGAGGAGATTATAATACATGTATGAACAATAATAAACTTTTTATAAGATTTAGCTTTTATAGATAACAAATAATAATATAGAACCATTTCAATAATTATTTTTTTTATATACTTTAATACATATCTTAATGATTAATTTGTAATTTAAAAAGTATATTTTAATAATTATATGTGATGATTTAAATTTGTGGTTTAAAATAATTTTGTCTTACAAAATTATCTGAATTAAATGTAAAATTTCAATATGGTTTACTTTTAATTCTTTTTTAATTTAAATCAAATTAAATCACAGTTTAATATAATTAATTTTTATAATTTATTATAAATTTGTTAAATATATTATAAGTAAATTATTATTAAATAAAAGTATTATAAAATCATTATAAATAATTAATAATTAAAATTTGTGTCTCCATATTTTTAAATATGGAATATCTATTACATTTTATTTACTAAATGATAGACTATTTAAATATGTAATTATGACAAATATTATTAAAACAGTATAAACTATGACATGTTATTAATAATCTGTCAAACATTTTAATATATAATGTAATTGTCAGTAAAATAAATATGATCATATAATTTCTCATGATAAATTTGTGTTAATTAACTTAATTACATTAAGAGAAAAAATAGACTTATTTAAAAAATAAAATAATCATTAAAAATAATAATGAAATACATTTAAAAAATAGCTCTGAAGAACGTACAAATTAACTTATATTTCTAAATACACACTAATCTTATGTCAAAAGTACCTGATATTATTAATTACCCAAGTAAAATACTCCATGCGATTCATTAAGCTATTATACCAAAAGTGGAGTGGAGTTTCTTAAATTTAAGATTTGGATGTAGAAAAAACATGTATCGTGTTGTATGTGTGGTTGATGAGCAGCAATAAGCAATATATAGCAATGCATGGGGAAGTGATGAGGAGTTCAGCCCTACTTCTGCCCACGACGATAATTGATGAGAATTGATTCCTCGAATTGAACCAAATGACGGCGACGGCGACGACGACGACGACGACGACGACTGCAATGGGAACACTCTCTACCTCTCACACTTATCCACTCCCACTTTTTTCCTCCGCGCCCATTCTCAATCTCTTTCCTTCTCGTCATAAAACCTTTTCTGTTCTTCAAGCTGCAAATTCAAATTCAAATTCAATTTCAGCCTCAAATTCTTCCCATGCCCATGCCTATGACTTCGATCCAGAGCTGCGATCGGTGCTTGAACTTGCCACCGATTCCGAGTTGTTAGAGATTGAAACTATCCTTTTCGGCCCAAGGTCACAATCAATAACTCACTACTTTCATTCAGTTCAGTTCATTTCAATTCAATTCAATTCCCCTTTTCATCTCTCAAGCTTTCTCTCCCTTTCTAATTCACAGCTACTTCAGTCCTTTGCTCAAATCCATCCCATTCTCAAACACAACAGACCTCGACCGTTCCATGATTGGAGTCGACCTCAGCCTACGCCAACAATTTATAGCTGCTCTCGAGTCCCGATTTTTCTTCCTTGCTGCTGATGCCCGCTCCACATTAAGGTTTATTTTCTTCTTCTACTCTCTCACCCTCTCACCATAAATCTAACTAACACTTTCCTCTGCCAGGGGTTGGAGGCCATCTTACAGAAATGTCTTGCTTCACATCAGGAAAAAACTTGATATTCCTTGCTCAACCCGATTGTCAACTCACGACCTTGAACTAGAGATTTTCCTCCACCTTTTGCACTGCAACTCTACGTAAGTTAACTGTTTTTCACAATTACAAAATCCAACCTCTTAGTCTCTCTCCTCTCTAATCACCATCTAAAGCATTAATAGCCTTGTAGTGAAGAACCAGGAAACTACCCTTCCTTGTTCGACATAAGCACTGCATCTGAAGGTCAGGGCACTCTACAACATGGACTCAGTCCATGGAAAGTGCAGTCCAAAGTTGGGGCCCAAGATATTCGATCAATTCTTTTGAAGGTTCTTTTACTTGTTACTTCATTGATTCACTTCACATGCCACTGTTTTTAATTTTGTCTTATACTTTGTGATCTGTCTTTTCCATTTTATTCCTCTTCTTTTAAAGGGAGGTGGTGTTTTTACATTGGCCAAGATATATCAATTGGTAAGAGGATGCTATCTGTGTTTTATTCATTCTTTCTCTTTATTTTGTTTCCAAAAAGCATTTTGGGCCTCTTCCCCTGGTCATGACTAGATGCTGACTTGTAGTTAGCGAGTAAATTATCTGGGAAAGTTCTTGTAGAAGCTGCCAACTACCAGGTTAAGAAAGAGTTGGTGAAGAAGGTATACATTGGTACTGGTGAGATTTCTGGTAGCGTTAGTATTTCGCAACAATAACTTCAACATCCATTTTGCACTTTATGATTTACAGGGTGGGCAGTTAGCTATGATTAATCTAGAATCCAGAGCAGCCTTGCTTGCAGCAAAACAGGTGCCTGACAGGACCGTTTGATATTTTTCTATTGTTATTCAACTTTTCGTAGAAATGTATTTTAATGGTATAAATTTTCAAGTTTATTTCCATAGTGATCAATAGATTGACATTTTGAAGCCGCGACGTATTACGTCATAACGAGTTTGGAATGTGAACTTCGAATGCATCAGTTAAATAACTAAATGTGAAATGAGTTTAAATTTGTTTCTTCATCATTTGTGTAACATTATGCACTATCAGTTATAAAATACTGTCGCACTATTAAGGAGCCAAAGCATTTTGTTGTAACAGCTTGACTGACTTTTTATTATGCGGGAACACTGATTTACTCTTAGTATTAATTTTTGCAAGGACCAAAATTGAATTTCAAATGTATTTCAAACAGTTTATGTAGGCATTTATTAGTCAACCTAAGCCTGGCTTTGAGTTGAGGCACAACCTCTTATATTCTCTCTCATCTATAAATATAACAGTATCAATGTCTTCAGACATGGTCTTTGAAACTTAGAAACATTTTTCTCAAGTTGGTGTCAGGGAGGGTGAGATCTTGCACTAATTTCCTTTGTTTTTGTTATCTTCGGCCATTCAAGGCTGCTGTTCATCGTCTCCAGCATTGTTTGTTGTTGTCGCCACCATCAACCGGCACAATTTTGACCGGCAAGACCAAGGTTTGGTGTGTCTTGAGGAGTGAGACCTAACCCTACCAAGTGCAATGCCAACCATTGCTCCAAGCGTCGATCCAAGTGTTGTAAGTTTCTGGCACGTGGGTGTCATGCACCACACCCACCTTCCGGTGATTGGAACCACGTCCGATTACCTCCATTCCTCTTGTTAACGCCTTTTGCTTTAGTGGTGTTCTCTGTTTTGAAATCTTTGGGTGTTAGGTCTCATGTTTCTCCCTCTTGGTTAGGGTTTTCTTCTTTGTTTTCTCTGTCACTCCCACTATTACTAGTGCCAAGCTCAATTGGAAAAACTATTTATCTTGATTTACATTTGTGGAATTGTGATTCGTAGGTCAAGGGTACCATGACCATTTGGAAATTGAAGCTAGTTCCATTTTTTATAATGAAAGACCTCAATGGCAAAAGATAGATTTTCAACTTTGTGCAATTTTATGGTAGTTTGTTGAATCGGAGGTTCTAGAAATTCTCAGGTCAGTCAAGACTTGTTCTTCTTTCTGGAAGAAAGCACAAGATATCTTTGCTAATGTATCCAACGTCTATTTGATGCAACCCAAAGGGTAACTTCTCTCAAACAGACCAATCACGATATGGTATCTCATGTTGCAAAGGCTAGGGATGTTGTAGAAGAAGTAAAGAGGTATCTAGCAGCTAACACCTTGGAAGAGCTTAATACAAAACTTGATAAGTTTTATATGGTCCTGATTTTGAGGAGTTTACATTCTAATTTTGATTATGTGTGTGATCAAATCTTGGCTAGTGATTAAGTTCCTTCAATGGACAACTTAGTCACTAACTTATTTGTGTACCCAACCTGATGAAAGATGAGAGTTAGGTTGAAGTTATTGAACCTTCAACAATGACTATACCTCGTGGACGAGGGGGAGGACAAAATAGTCAAAGAGGACGTGGTGGTAGAAATGTATGTCCTCAATTCTCTTATTGCAAGAGAATGAGGTACACACAGGAAAATTATTATTCCTTGTATGGATTTTCTGATAAAGTTGCCCATGTTTTTAAATTTGAAAAATTAGATATGAAGATTATCAAGAATTTTTAAGATTCGAATATGAGAAGTTCAATAATCAAGTTAATCTTCTTCAATGCCAAGTGTTTCAACAACATTTATCTCTCAATTTATGGAAGGTCAAAATCCATAAATTCTTGATACAGGTGTCTCTGATCATATCTCTAGTAGAAGTTCTTCTTTTTCCTTCATGTCTTATCTTAAAAATCCTCGCTTGGTTATCGAGATCGAAAGTGGCATCTCAAGGAGTTGGTCAAGTTCCTTTATCACCTTCACTAAATTTAAACTTTGTACTTTACATTCCTAATTGCTCTTATAACTTGATTTCTCTTAGTCAATTGACTCACTCTCTGAATTGTTATGTAACCTTTAATTTCAATTCTTGTGTTATTCAGGAATATGGTATGGTTGTCTGAGATGGACATGAATCACGTGACCTTTATTATCTGAATATAAACCACTCTGTGTTGTGTCTTGCTTCTCATGCTCCAAAACTTTTGCATGATCGTTTGGGTCACCCAAGTTTATTTAAGTTGAAAATAATGGTTCCTAATCTCACACTCGGGTCTAAGAATGTGAATCTTGTCAATAAAGAAAACGTGTTAGATTTACATTTCCTAAATAGTTTGAAACTCGATGTAGTTTTCCTTTTTCCAACATTCATTCTGATATTTGGGGACTGAGTTATGTCTTCTCTTTTATTTTTCGATATTTTGTAATCTTTATTGATGAATTTTCTAGATGTACTTGGGTTTACTTAATGAAAGATAGATATGAAATTTTTATCCATATTTGTGTCTTTTTTTAATAAGATTAAGAATCAATTTAGGAAGATAATTAAAATTCTTAGAAGTGATAATACTAAAAAATATTTTTCTGTTGCATTTTCCTCATTTATTTTCCCAGGGGGTTTTGCATCAATCCACATGTTTTCACACCCCACAATAGAATGGTATAGCGAAAAGGATGAATATGCACCTTATTGAGATTCCACACTTTCTAATATTGAATGCTAATGTTCCTGTTCATCATTAGGGAGATGCAATTATCACTGCTTGTTTTTTGATTATTAGAATGTCCTATTCTTTTCTTAAGAATCAAATTCCTCACTCTTATTTTTCTGGATCATCCTCTTTTTCATATGTTCTTACATCTATTTGGATGTGCCTATTTTGTTCATAATGTCTCTTCAAGTCTTGATAAAATCGATGCAAAGGCTATTAATTGTGTTTTCTTGGGGTATTCTTACCTTCAAAAGGGGTATAAATATTATTTTCCTTCAACTAACAAGTATTATATATTTGCTAATGTTACCTTCTTTAAAGACACATCCTTCTTTATTTCCTCGTGGATCCTTCCTCCTCATTCTCTAGTTGGCCTATTGTTCTCCAAAAAGGTACTCATTCTACTCATAATCATTTTCCTATTTATACCTTTTTAAGTTATCATATTTGTCTCCTTCATATTTTTCTTTTGTTCATTCTTTGTCCACTACTTTTATACCTAATATTGTTTATGAGGCATTGATCATCCTGGATGGCTGTAAGCCATGATTGATAAAATGCAGGCTCTTAACTATGATGACAGTTAGGATCTTATCCCTCTTCCTCCTGACAAGAAGATTGTGGGTTGTAAATGGGTGTTTGTAGTTAAGATTGGTCCTAATGGTAGTGGATTGTCTCAAATCTCGCTCAATGACTAAGACTACATTCAGATTTATGGTCTTGATTACTATGATATCATTTCTCATATAGCTAAGATTTTCAATGTTCAACTCTTTCTTGTTATGACTACTATTTGTCATTGGCCTCTTCACTAACTTGACATTAAGAATGTCTTTCTTCATTGTGATATTGAGGAAGAGATTTATATAGAGCAACCTCCTAGGTTTATTGCTCAAGGGGAGTATGATTTGGTGTGTAAAGTATGCCAATTACTTTATGGTTTGAAGCAACCACCCTAGACTTGGTTTGGTGAATTCAGTCATATTGTGCAAATGTTTAGCTTAAAAAGGAGTGAGCAGATCATTTAGTGTTTTATTGTCATATTTCTTCAGTGAAATGTATTTATCTAATAGTTTATGTTGATATTGTTATTACATACAACGATTCCACTAAGATTAGTCAATTGAAGGAACGTCAGTTTGGTAATTTTCAATCCAAAGATTTTAGTTATTTGAAGTATTTGCTTAGTATTAAAGTGACCTAGTCAAAGGAAAGTGTGTTAATCTCACAAAGGAAATATGCTCTTGATATTTTGAAGGAGATAGACTTGACAAATTGCAAACCCATTGATAGCCTGATGAATCCTAATTAGAAACCAATGGGAGACAAAGTTGAAACTTTCTTAGGTCCAGAGGGATATAGGAGGTTAGTGGAAAAACTCATCTATCTCACTATTACTAGACCATATCTCTCTTATACAGTTGAAGTAGTTAGTCAATTGATGCAAAATCCTTTTGTTAATCACTGAAATACCTTGATTAGCATTCTTGACTCCAAGACAAGTATTGTTGTATGAAAACAAAGGTAATACTCAGATCTCAAGATATTGTGATGTAGATTGGGTTGATTGTCCTATTGATAGAAGATCTACTATTAGGTATTGTGTATTTATTCGAGAGAATATGATCTCTAAAAAGAGTAAGAAACAAAGTGGTGTTGCTCGATCTAGTGTAGAAGTTGAATACAATTCTATGGCTCTTGATATGTGTGAACTTGTGTGGATTAACTAACTCCTTCAAGAAATTTTGTGATAATGAGCAGATAAAGTTGTATTGTGATAATCAGGCAACTCTTCATAGTACCTCCAATCCAATATTTCATGAGAGAACAAAGCATATTGAAATTGATTGTCATTTTGTCTAAGAGAAGCGGTTTTCCAAGGAACTCATTATTGGTTTTGTGAACTCCAATGAGAAACTTGTAAACATTTATTTTAAATCTCCAAGATGACCTATGATTCAATTTATATGTTCTAAGTTTGGTGCATACAATTTATATGCTCGAGCTTGAGGGAAAATGTTAAGATATGTTTTTATTTCAGCCTTTTTTTCTATATATATTCCTAGGATTAGGGTTTGGCTTTGGGCTGAGGTCCAACCTTTTTTTGTATTCTCTCTTATCTATACATATAATAGTACCTTTTGACACGATCTTTGAACCTTAAAAAAATTTTCTATTGCTTTTGTTTATGTTGATTGTATAGCATGTCTCTCAACTGATGTTTGATTTGTTCCAGGGTTTTCTTGGTGCTGCATCAAGGTATCTGGGCTTTAGAAGCATGCTCACGTTACTTGGACCTGTGTACGT